TCTTTTTTATCCAATAAACGGAAATATGGCTTGTATACCATGGTTAATTTTTATTCAAAAAACGCAATTTCGGCGAAACCGATCTGATCCGATTTTGTGATAATCATCTCTCAGGGAAGTTTCGTGCATTAAGATAATTTGATTAAAACAAATGTGAAAATTCATTAATGCGTAAATTTTTCGAAATTTTCATTTTTGTTTCAGAATTGACTAGAAAAGCTAACAGATAGGTTAACAAGAACGGCTGTAAACACGGGGGCTGAAACTTTGCTACCAATGGCTGTGTGTATAAGCCTGAGCGTACGATTAAGACAGCTTGATGATATAGGATTATGGCCTATTCATGCAGTACAAACATCAAATATGCAGTACGCTTTCGGAGTACAAGTGTTTAGGGAGGTTTTTTATCTTAAATTTTATTTTGTTTTCTCAGAACCTTTAATGAACAATGAAGGAAGTATTGCCAGAGTCGGCTTAAGGTGGGGGTAGGGAGGGAGGGAATTAAGGTGGGGGGTAGGGAGGGAATCCCACCCCTTAGAAAATTAAAGGGACGTCCCATTCCCTGGAAAACTGAGGGGAGTCCTGTCCTTCCACCCTTGAAAAATAAGTAGGGAAAGAAGAAAGAGCAGGGAACAAATAGCCATTTAATTTAGATTTAAGAATAGATTTAAAATGTTGCTTGCCTGTCGCCCCACTTTATTACTTAATTGAATATTTTTATAGAAATTCAAATCTTGGTATCACATATTCCTCCGTCCGCCCCCAGCTGGTCATGATTTTGACACAAAAAGGACCAAATTCCCCGTAAAAATTACCAGGGGGGGGGAGGAGAGGATTTTTTACCCGTTTCCTCTCCCCACCCGATATATACATATTTTAAATGTGCATCACCCCCAACCCTCCTAAACGTTAAAGTCCTCTTCTTTTCCTTCCTGTTCAGCATTTTGCTTGCATTATAGTGCTAAAGCTTTATAAATATTTTCAATTTATTTGGATTACCCTGTAATTGTCCTATGGTCTTAAAAATCAATGTCAAGGACCAANAGTTCTGTAACATACAGTAAGTTTCTCCACACTAAACCCACACTGAAACCTCACAACAAGAATTGCATCATAAAAGTATAACGGGTTGGCAAAGCATGAAATTTAGATGCATAAACTCAAGTAAGAGTTGGGGCCCGAGAACGTATCCCTGTGGGACTCCTGTTTTTACAACCATGTATAACTTTATAAGTGTCTGGTTTAGTACGCATAATTCTTAGAATTATGGGAATGCTAGAAAAGAGTTTTCACTATTTGCATAAAAATTGCAAATAAAATACCAAATCTAAGTAAATATATACATATTCATAAACATTTATAAAGTGGAATAATATTTTTTTTCTGTTTATGCTCTTGAAGCAGATTAAAATAGTAATACCAATCAACTGGAAGGAGTTGATATATTTGGCTCCAATATTTACACCCTTAGTATTTAAAACGTATACATACAGGGTATAGAATAAAAAGTTAGAAAGAATTCCTTTCTGAATATTTTTATAAAATATATGACAGTAGATCATGTCTGCGAACACCCTGACAGGATTGTAAATAAACATTTGTTTCCAGCATTATAAACAAATCCTTGATCTAATAAAGTGGGTAGTGTTTTGAGTAAAGTTGACCATGTAAATCAACATTTTTAACAGTTGACTTAATAAGTTGAATAAATGTTAACAATTGACGCTTTTAACCAATTGACCAAGGTAGAATTGCGAAATGTGAAGTTGACCAAATGTAATTTGACCAAACTTAAATTGACAAAATTTACGTAAATTGACGACGAAATGTAAATTGACTTAAATGTACGTAAATTGACCACGAAAAGTCTTGTATTTTAAAGTTTGTTTTTATCTGAAAGTTCACAAATAAGCTTCAGCTGTTCCAAAAATCCGTGGTCTTACTTTTCTGTTTAATCAACTTATTTTTTGTCGAAAAGGGTTTAGGATACCGTACTGCGTATACGTTCAGCATAATAATTATCTAAAATTAACCCGTTAAAAATATTTCAGAATCTTATCAGCCTTCTTTTTTATTGAGAATTTCGTATAAAAAAACTAGATTTTTAAATTCCAGTTTTTCAAGATAAACGTCTAAAAGTGAGGAATCTAAAGAGATACTGTATCCAATTAGTTTTAAGTTTAGCTCGACCGGTATCTTTTACACCCTTATAACGAACCAAAAGTCAAGAAATCTGATCAAAACATCTGTAGAAAATGTCGGATAATAAATTGAGCCAATTCTAAGCTTGATTTTGAGTCAGGTCACAAAGGGCTTAATTAAATCGATGTCATGATGAAATTCCTAAGATTTTATTGATTGCGTTTTATTCTGCTTTTCGTCCCTTAATTCTCACTTTACGTTCTTTCCGACCTTTCTTTCAAATTTTACTTTTCTTTTTTTCTCCTTTTTCCTTTCATATCCATCATTTTCTGCTTTTCCGTTCGCTCCAATCTTTCTCTCTTTTCCATCATTTTCAATCTTTTTACTCTTTCCTTCCTTTCCATCATTTTTACTCTTTCCATCCTTTCCATCAGTTTTACTCTTTCCATCCATTCCATCCTTTCCATCCTTTCCATTCTTTTTACTCTTTCCATCCTTTCCATCAGTTTTACTCTTTCCATCCATTCCATCCTTTCCATAATTTTTGTCTATCCATCCTTTCCATCCTTTCCATTCTTTCCAACATTTCCATCCTAATCTTTCCATACTTTCCATTCTTTCCATCCTTTCTAATACTCATTTTCTTCAATTCTATCCATTCTTTAAATGTTTTTATCTATTTCATTTTCATATCAGATGTTGTTGTGTTTGAGTTATCTGTTGGCTTCTTTGTGTGTTATGATGTTTATTGGAACTTGTATATTTATGTTAAGTATATGAGTGTATTTAATGTATGTATGTTTGTGTGTTATAAGGCAGAGGGTGGTCTAGTTTAGACCACCCTCTGTACGCGAAGCAACTAGACCACCATGTGTTTAAAGTAATTAGCTTTTATTTACATCTACTCTACATATACTCCTATATTCATTAAGCTTGGGTATAAAGCGTCTGTGTATTGAACATTTTAAAATTAATTTATGTTTTTGATCTTTTCTTTTCAATCTCTCTGATTTTGTCGAGGTTCGGTTTGTTATTTATTATATATAGTTTTATTGTTACTTTAGCCTCAAGCCAAATTATTTGGGAAAACTAAAAATAAAAAATGTAGCAAACAATATAATACAAAAAAAAGCAAAGGACACTGAAGCTCTTATTTCAAATTTTAATGGTCCATAGCATGTGTTATTTCTATAATGTATACTATGGTACACATGTGGGATTAGGAATAGTATACAGTCTAAATTTCAGGTTTCTTATTTCATGATTTAGAGGAGAGAGGGGGGGCATAGAGGCTATTTCAAGCTGGAAAAGAAAACCAAAGGTTGAAAAGGAAATAAAGGGGGGGGGGCAGGAGGCCGGGGGGATCTATAGAGTTAGGTCTCTGGATTGTAGTTTGAATGTTAACAAAGTAATTAATTAAAGTTCAACATGTTCCTTCATTGAAATTTACTTTCACAAACAAAATTAAAATGGAAACGAAATATAAAAAAAATAAGATAATTCTTTCCATGGCTTTTCTTTTTTTCTAAAAAAATAGATGTTCTGTTTAGACTGTACCCCCCGCCCCTCTGCTTATTAACCTCTCATTTTTTAAACTTTGAAACTTCTTGTCTTTAGAACACTCAAACCTATTCCGACAATTTTGGAGATACTGCCTGAATGCCTTATTTTACCTTTACCCAACTAAATCTATATTTAGACCTACTTCCGGTCATTGGATTTTGACTTTTTATAGCTCTAAGGAAAGCCTTGAACAAAAGAAAGTGGATTGCACAATTTTTGCGAAGAAATTTTGCATAGTTTTTTGCACAGATCTCTTCAATTCAAAGAGAATTAACACATTTTCAATTTTCCTTGAATAAAAATTTATTTTAAAAAAATGTTGCAAATATTTTTGCATGTTTGATTTCGACGTGACGTGGTAAGGGCCTTTTTTGCACATTTTTTGCTTAATAACTTGAACTTGCAATACATTTTTTAAATGTAGCAAATTTGCAATTTTTTGCAGATTATGAAAGTAGAGCCTAAGGACTTTTCCAAGGTCTATCAAATGTTTTAGATTTGTATCACAATAAGGAAATAGATCGACTATTTTGGTTAAACCAGACGTCAGTCTGAATAGGGATAAACCAAAATGTGCATACACTCAAAGGAAAAATAAGCAGTATTTTGCTGATTACTCCTTTTAAGCTTGTGCTAGAAACAAGCGCGTTGCCTTATCAAAATACATATGGTTCGGGTTACAAAAAAGTATAAGTAAGTCAGTAAAACTAAAGGTCAAGGCGTTGCGACACTTTAAAGTCGAGGCTGTCTAAAAATTTGACATCTAACTTTCATAGTTGTGTAGCGTCTATTGTCTTCGTATATTTCAATGAGAATAAGTATTTTAACAGAAGATACATATATGGTGTCCCACGAAACATGACAGTTGGTTAATAGTTTAAAATGTCTTCTACCATAATCTGTTGTAAGTTTTTTTATACCAAAGAGACTAATCAAAATATTATGTGGTATCATATATTAGTTAAATGGATTTCAAAGTAAAATATATTTGAGTAAAATTTTTTTAACGAAATCAACGAAATCAAAGTCTTTAATATCTAATCAAAGACTTTCAAGAATAAAAACTCTGAGACCTTTTTAAAGGAGGGGGGGGTGAGAGTAGAAGGGGGAATCCCTCCCCCCTGGACTATATTTAGCTTTAGAACCCCAGCATGTTTTGAGTTAAGTGAGAAAAGGTGAAACCAGTTTATGGGAGTCTGGAAGTCGGTCTCTACGAGGACCGTCGGCCGGAAGTTGAGGTGTGTATGTATAGTAAAATACACTTTAGCAGAATAGATATTGGTTGTAATCAATTAGAAAGCTTGGTAGTTTAGTTAGACTTAGTCTAGCTATATTTAAGTACATAGATACTAACCAACCATACACGTTATATTTATAATATAATAAAAATTAAGATAGATCATAAGTATTTAATGTGATTTTGTGAATATCTTTATGAAATCTGTGAAATATAGATATGTGAATTTGGCGCCAAAATCTGTTCTAAAAGTGAACACCAAGTATTGATGTGATGGGGGATTTATGTGATGCTGAAATAGAGATTAATAAATAATAAGTTAACAATATTCGGTGATATTCAGCTTACAACAGTGAAGACCCCTGAAAAGCTGGAAAAGTAAGCAATTGCAATTAAAAAAGATGTTTTCAACAAAACAATCGTTGATCTGAAAAGCTTCGATAAATTTAGTGTCGGTGACGAAATCTGCCTGAGAATGTTCGTTGATATAGATTGCGGGAATACAAGATGAATTGGAACAGATTCCACAGTTGAAGCTGAAATATCAGGTAGAAATATATATCTTTCCTTTAACACAAAAAGTGTTTTTAGTCCCTTAAAAGTCTAAAAACTTTAAATGTTTAAAAACGTCCTCAACCACTCTAAATGTTTAAAAACGTCCTCAACCACTCTAAATTTTAAAAACGTCCTCAACCACTCTAAATGTTTAAAAACGTCCTCAACCACTCTAAATGTTAAAAACGTCCTCAACCACTCTAAATGTTAAAAACGTCCTCAACCACTCTAAATGTTATTAAAAACGTCCTCAACCACTCTAAATGTTAAAAACGTCCTCAACCACTCTAAATGTTAAAAAACGCCCTCAAAACTTTAAATGTTTAAAAACGCCCTTGAAACTTTAAATGTTTAAAGACGCCCTCAAAACTTTAAATGTTTGAAGACGCCCTCAAACGTTAAATGTTCAAAAACGCCCTCAAAAATTTAAATGTTAAAAACGCCCTCAAAACTTTAAATGTTTAAAAACGCCCTCAAACCCTTAAATGCTTTAAACGCCCTCAAAACTTTAAATGTTTAAAAACATCCTTAAAACCTGAAATGTTTAAAACGCCCACAAAACTTTAAACGTTTAAAAAAGCCCTCAAAACTTTAAATGTTTAAAAACGTCCTCAAAAATTGAAATGTTTAAAAACGCCCTTAAAACTTTAAATGTTTAAAAACGCTCTCAAAGCTTTAAATGTATAAAACCGCCTTCTAAACTTTAAATGTTTAAAAACGCCCTCAAAACTTTAAATGTTTAAATACGTCCTCAAAACTTTAAATGTTTATACACGCCCTCAAAACTTTAAATATTTAGAAACGCCGCCCTCAAAACTTTAAATATTTAAAAACGCGCCCCTCAAAACTTTAAATGTTTAAAAACGCTTAAAAACTTTAAATATTTAAAAACGTCCTCAAAAATTTTAAATGTTTAAACACACCCTTAAAACCTTAAATGTTTAAAACGCCCTCAAAACGATGCTCATCATTCTGAGCTTTACCATTCTTAGTCATGGTTGCTCCAACAGTAAATTATTTGTAAAAATATCTGATTGTTTATTTTTATTCTATTTACTTTTTTAACGGATTGAAAGTATCCCCAGTTTTGACACTGCTGACAAATTGCTCAGATATTACTAAAACACGTCTAAAGGGGCCGAGGAGGGGAGGGGGGAAGATAGGGGGGGGGGGGTTAGAATAATCCTTTAAAAAACACAGGTTTTTTTCCTTTATTTAAAGAAAAAATGTCTCAATAAATTTTTTGAAAAACCCCTAGCGTGGGAAAACGCCACCTTTTGCTTTTTGTAATAGAAATAAAAATGATAAATGAATTATTATGAATACAGTAATAACCAAAAAATTCTGGAATAGAAAGTCGACTTTTAGACTCAAGTTATGACTTTAAATTAGGCCAATGAATAAAATGCACAACAATTGTGCAGTGTAAGTTTAAAACTTTTAATAAAACTATTCGCTTTGTAACAACATCCAATGCACTTCAGTATTGCTTTTATGTCGTCTTCCGATTCTACAGTTTTCTGGTTATCACTGTAGTATTTATTCGATTTATTTGAAACTTGTGAAGTTATTATTTTTTCGCGTTTTTTTTTGCAGCAAATATTTATTTTATTTCGAATCCTTTCCAGAACTGCAAAATATTATCTTTATCTAATAAAATTTGAAAAATAAGTTTTTTTCCCTTCCCCTACAGTGATAACCAGAAAACTATGGAATATGAAGACGACAGTATACCAATACTTAAGCGTTTTTTTATTTTGTATCAAAGCAAATAGTTTAACTAGACACTTGGGTCTGTTTACACTGCACAATGGGTGTACATCATGCTCATTGTACTTTTTAAAGTCATAACTTGATTCTAAAAGTCGTCTTCCTATTTCAGAGTTTTCGGGTTATCACTGTACAACAGAGTGTAGTTTCTCGCTAAAAATGTACAAATGAACACTAAACCGTTTAAAAATGTCAAAACTTAATTTCTCTTAAAAGCACATGTGTATGATAAAAAGTTATAAATTATTGAAAAATTGACATGCCTTATCGTTAATAAAAGATTAAATAAATGATAATAATGTTGTTTAATATGATTATTTTATTTCAGAATGACCGGCAAGATGGCCGATGACCCTGAAATCCCGGAAACAGGTAAAAAACAATTAAATGCTAAAACATTCTTTACCAGAATTTTTTATAAACAACAAATATTTCTCAGTTATTATAATTCTTGTATTCAATCTTTCAGCTGGAATTAAAAAGAAAACAACACTGCAAACTTGACAGAAGGAGAAGGTCAAATTTAGGCGACCTCCCAACTTTTCGACCTCGTAGCTCCTCTTTTTTATTTTGTGTACAATTATGGGAACACCATTATTTAGCAAAGAAAGAAACATGTTTACACTTCCATAGGATCAAAAGTATAAGACAGTATAAATTCCGTACAGTCGTCTCTGAAGTCTCATCCTTTGTAAAACAATAAAAGAGAAGATTTATATATTTTCAGGAGCAGTGTTCACTTTCGGCAAATCTAAATTTGCGGAGAATTCTCCAAGCAAATTCTGGATCAAAAAGGACAATGTAAGATAAATTAAATGAAAAATATAAACAAAATGATTTAGAACGAAATAATAAGATAATGATTAATACCACAATACTGATAATAACAATTATATTTGCAAGGACTATATTTGAAAATGAAAGGTTCACGAAAGTAGTTTTAATTTTAGAAATAAAAAAATGATAGAAATAATGGTGAAAGAAAGTAAAATAACAGAAACATAAAAGAAATGTATTTATAAAAATATGAAAAATAATAAAAACATTAATGACGAAATCATTGTAATAATATTAAAACAACAATAATCACAATATAAAGATATTACACGATTAAAGAGGACAACATTAAAGCTATTTAAAACACTAATATTTTGGTTAGCAATGCTTATTGAGAAGATTCAAACTTTTTAGACTATATATTCTGAGCTTCAGTGAGGGACAAAAAAGAACCTTTGAGATACAGAGGAAATTAAGTCCTAAATGTTTATAACACGTAGCATCGTGCCAAAATAAAAGCATTAGTATAGAATAAGCCTCTTTACAAAGGAGAATTGAAAATAAAAGTTAATTTCAATTTTGTTTAAATTTAAAGTGAAAATAGTTTTTTAGATAAAATCCGTGAACCATTGAAACTCTACAGGACGTTTTTAATAAAATTCACCAAGAAGCGTCATATTAGTTTTACAAATATAATTTAAATAAAAAGACTAAAATCATAATATTAAAATGACACTTTTGCCAAAATAAAAGTGACTAAAATGAATAATAATAAAATAACAATAATAATAATATAAATTTATACTAGCTGAAGTGCCCGCGCGACGTATTTTAGCCTGTTAACCCCGGGGCACCCATGTGTTTCCTCAAAAAAGTCAGCCAATTCAGTCTAGATGTTTGGTTAGCTATATAGCTAACATATAAATATATATATATATATATATATATATATATATATTTTATTTCAAAAGTGAACATTTTCTCTTTGTATACTTTGTAAAACAAAAACAAAAAAATATATGCGAATTTTTCTAAAAAAACATTCGGGAATTTTTAAAATTCAATAGAAATCCAATTTTGTTGGTGAGGTTCCACAAAAAATTTGGGCCCGATCAGTTAAGCCGTTTTGACGTTTATTAAATACAAACAAACAGACAAACAAATAGACAAGCAAAGTATAAATGAGCGAAGAGCTTTATTATTAATAATAAATTACAATAATGATAATCTAAATGTAACATATATATAATTTTATTGCTAGCCAAGCATTAAATAAGTACTTATCCACAGTTTTTCCTTTAATGAATGCTTAATGAAATTCTTCAACTTGATGGAGATCCAAATATTGTAGTTCGAACAATGCCAGATTTCTTTTAATCTCCACCAGGACTATCAAAAAGACTGCCACCAGGACTGCCACTATAGGACTGCCCCTAGAACTGCCACCAAGACTGCCACCAGGACTATCACAAAGACTGCCACCAAGACTGCCACCAGGACTATCACAAAGACTGTCACCAGGATTGCCACCAGGACTGCAACCAGGACTATCACAAAGACTGCCACCAGGATTGCCACCAGGACTGCCACCAGGACTATCACAAAGACTGCCACCAGGATTGCCACACCAGGACTGCCACCAGAACGCCACCAGGACTGCCACCTGAACTGTCACCTAAACTGCCACCAAGGCTGTTACCAGGACTGCTACCAGGTAGCACAAGGCTGCTACCTGAAACCTTAAGGTGGCTACCAGAAACCTCAAAACTGCTACCAGAAACCTCAAAACTGCTACCAGAAACCTCAAAACTGCTTCCAGAACTGCTAACAGATGTTATCGCATAAAATGTGCCCTTTTTGAAAATTATTATGTAAGTGCACATAGTCATTTTTGTATCCGCATATGCATCAATTTTCATACTTCATTTTGTTTGTCTATTTAGAAGCACATAGATGTTTTAACAACAATTCTTCAGCTAATCCGGATTATCTAGATGTAAACTTTGATTTTCAGAATACAAAAGGATTTTTGCTTGTTTTTCTAAGCCTTGAGGCCTTAGCTCCTGAAATGCAATTCTTAGCTTTTGAGCTAAAACTCGGAAAATGTCGTTAAGAAACCTTACTTGTTGTTTAAACGCATTTATCAGTCATATGAAGACCAAATATGAAGACACATGCGCAATATTTCCTTTTTACATGATAACTCGTTTGCTGTCCAATTTGGATCTGTAGGTCATTAAATTAAGAAAACATTAGTTTTATTATAATGTATTATTATGGAAATGCACTTTACTTTATATAATATAATAATAAAATAATAATAATGATAATATATACATGATATAATTATAAAATAACAATAATGATAATATAAATGTAATATATATAGTATCATAAAATAAAAATAATGATGTTATAAATGTAATATGCTCTTCGATAATATAAAAATATTTGTATGTCAAACATGAAACACAGTGTCCAGCTATAAACTATATTTAATAAACAATAAAAAAAGTTCTGAACTTTTTTTAAGAAGATATATTGAGATGTATGTAATAGTGAAGCGTTTTACGTTGAAAGATCAAATCCATAGATAACTTTACAATCCATAGTAAATTCCACTTAAACAACCAGGTTTATACTTTCAGAAGTATTTACAAATGTTTTAAATTATTCCATCAAACCCTTCGATCCTTAATCACTCCTTATCATCCTGACACAACAAAATCAAAAATCAAAGTCAACGAATCAACCAATCAATTAATCAACCGGAATATTAGACTAGTAATTATTGAGGCCTGGCTATTGTTTTACAATGTTAGCTGCAGCTGGCCAAACAGCAAGACCGAACTGGCTGATTTTTTTAGGAAACTCATGGGTACCCTGAGGGTAACATAGGCTCAAATAATTTGATTTTTTAAAGAATCAATTTATTTCTTAAATAAAATGTTTTACATCAAATTTTTTGTTCATTCCACGGGCAACGCCAGGCACATCAGCTAGTATAGATGTAATAATAAAATGACAATAAAAGGAAAAATCTATAGATTGTACTGATATCATGTGGAGATGAACATACTGCAGTTGTCACCCAGTCTGGCAGGTGAAAAACAGGACAAACAGGACAAACAGGACAAACAGGACGAACAGGACAAAAAGGAGAAACATGATAAACAGGACAAACAGGACAAACAGGACAAACAGGACAAACAGGACAAACAGGACAAGCAGGACAAACAGGAAAAACATGACAAACAGGTCAAACAGGACAAAGAGGACAAACAGGACAAACAACACAAACAGGACAAACAGAACAACCAGGACAAGTAGGACAAACAGGAAAAACAGGAAAAACAGGAAAAACAGGACAAAAAGGAAAGACAGGACAGAAAGGACAAACAGGACAAACAGGAGAAACAGCAAAAACAGGACAAACAGACGGGACAAACAAACGAGACAAACAGGGAAAACAGGACAAACAGGACAAACAGGAAAAACAGGAAAAACAAGACAAACAGGACAATTTTATGGGACGAAAAAACGAGACAAACAGCGAAACAGGACAAACAAACCGGAAAACGGGACAATTGTGACAAATGGGACAAATGGAACAAATAGGACAAACTGGACAAACGGGACAAACTAGACAAACGGGACAAACAGGAAAACCAGGACAAAATGGGCAAACAGGAAAAAATAGGACAAAAAGGAAAAATAGGACATACTGAGAAAACAGGACAAACATGAAATAATACGAGAAACATGACAATTAGGAGATATCTAATGATTTTTTACCGGTCATATGACAACTAGGACTGCCAGGCGATAGTTTGACAACCAAAACAAATCAATTAACAAATCTGGCAATTATTTAAGTAAAAAACAGTTCGGACGTATCTGCCGCGCCGCGCGACGTTTTTAGAAAATCAGGACAATAGTGCCTGCAGTACCTAAAATCGCATTTAACTAAAATATGCCTAATCGATTTTTTCTTCTCACAAATTATATAAAATTTGTGATTTGAATTTTATCCAGGAAGGTTTTTTTATCAGATTTATTCCAGTTCAGTTTTTAAAACTAAAATAAATGTTTATAATGCTTGAACCACCATGGAGGCCATGCCAACAAAAAAAGCAATACGGTCAAAAAACGATTTAGTTTGTATCGGTATAGAGGTATTTGTGAAATCTTAGAAAATTCGATGATTGAGAAGACGACTTTTATTTTCTTTGTATTTTTAGACTGTTTACATTTGGAAGTAATGAATGGGGACAGCTGGGGTTAGGACACAACAACAATGCTCCCCGACCCAGCTGTGTAAAGGTAGGTTGCTCAATTACAACTTAAAACAGAATTTATTATAAGGATAAGCTTTGGGGCTGGCATTGTTGAGACGAAGACAGGTAAAAAGTCAAGTGATGAGGCGACAGTTAAAATGCTCAACAAGATTATGTTTGAAGTAAAAGTGTTTGTCATGAGCCCACACCAAATTTAGCAAACTATCAATTAGAATCATATTGACCAGTGACTCACCAACCTTTAGTACTCATAAGGACTTCGTAGAAATGTCGAAATATATTTCCTGAAAAGTCGTCTTCATCTTTTATTTTCCAATCTGAATTTGTTCAACTCAGACTCAGATTTAAGAATCATAGATAAAAATTTTCTAAGATACAAGATAAAAAGCTATGTTGGCAAATCAAAAACAATTTCTTTCTCTTTACCGTGTTAGCATCAAAGAATGTTACTTTGATGATGACCTGAAGCTTTTTGGAAAAATCTCCGAAGAGTGAATTTCATATTCTGCCAAATGATTTGTTAAAAAGTAAACCACTGAATTTAAATAAAATATGATTGTCTCTAAAAATTTTAGCTTGGGCTGGGATAATTTCAGTTAAAAGTGATGTTTCTTCTGAGTAAATAAAGCTTATTAAATATATTAAAATTTATTAAAGATAAAAATCATTTAATATTTTTCAACACTGGTGTCTCTATCAGAGTTTCTATTCCTAAAATACAGTACAGGTTAATGCATGCGGAACTTAAGTTGAAATTAGCATATTTCATTCTAAAAAAATAACATTAAAAAAAACATATTCTTTATAAACAGCAATTAGTTGAATAATTTAGAAAAATTTTATATTTATTATTTTTAAAAAAATGTACCTGGATTACTCCTATACGCCAATCCAAAATCTATTTTTAGTGGTTAACTTTGTTTCCTTAGGAATAAAGGTTGATGTAACGTAGCGAGAAGAACCTTGAACAATTGGTTCCGTGTACATGAATACAGGACTGGTTTCTCTAATCTTATTTTCCCAACTCCCCCTGCCGTCCTGCTCAGACCAGCCTGATACTTGACCCCTGCCGTCCTTCTTAGACCAGCCTGATACTTGACCTTTGCTGTCCTGTTTCGACCAGTCAGATACTTGACCCCTGCCATCCTGCTCAGACCAGTCTGACACTTGACCCCTGCCTTCCTGATCAGACCAGTCTGACATTTGACCTCTGCCGTCCTGATCAGACCAGTCTGACATTTGACCTCTGCTGTCCTGATCAGACCAGTCTGACACTTGACCTCTGCCGTCCTGATCAGCCCAGTCTAACAGTGGACCACTGCCATACTGTTTAGACCAACCAGACGATAAACTGGTTCTACTTGACTCTTCCGGAGAACCCGACCAGCCCATGCCATCTTCAAGGGTCCATTGATTGCTAGAAATTTTTTTAGGTTGGATGTTGCCTGGATCATATCTAAGGTTTTGTGTGTTTACTTTTTCAGTGTATCTCTCTTTTAATCCAGTATATTGAGTATTTTCTCCAAAACTTTGATCTTTTACTCTAGCATACTGGACATTTGTTTCAGGAACCTGGAAATTTACTTTATTTTGGTTTCTGGCTTCAGTTATCTCTTGTTTCTTATACAACCAGCTCGCTAAGTTTTTCACGGGATTTTTGAGCATATTGGATGCTTTGTAATGAGATTTAACTGATGGGATGATATCTGTAGAATAGGTTGAGGTGTTTGTGTTTGAAATATAAGTGGGAGGAGTTGTTTGAGCATAGCGTAAAATTTCTGTTTTTGGATCATTTGAAGCTAATGTTGGATACAGTGGGTTATCATAGGTAGAATAGATTGGAACAGTATAGGATGGAGAAGCATGCATTGAAGGAGCATAGGTTGTAGGGACATTGGTTGGAGCAGCATTGGTTTGAGGAGCTTTGGTTGGAGAAGCTTTGGTTTGAGGAGCATATGTTGGAGGGGCATAGGTTGGAGAAGCTTTGGTTGGAGGATCATATGTTGGAGGAGTATAGGTTGGAGGAGCTTTTGTTGGAGGAGCAAAGGTTGGAGAAGCGTAGGCTGGAGGAGCATAGGTTGGAGGAGCGTAGGCTTGAGGAGCATAGGTTGGAGGACTATTGGTTGGAGGAGCTTTGGGTGGAGGATCATAGGTTTGAGAATCATAGGTTGGAGGAGCTTTGGTTGGAGGAGCATAGGTTGGAGAAGCATAGGTTGGAGGATCATAGGTTGGAGGAGCTTTGGTTGGAGGATCATAGGTTGGAGGAGAATAGGTTGAAGGAGAATAGGTTGAAGGAGAATAGGTTGGAGGAGCTTTGATTGGAGGAGCATAGGTTGGAGAAGCAGAGGTTGGAGGAGCATAGGTTGGAGGATCATAGGTTGGAGGAGCTTTGGTTGGAAGATCATAGGTTGGAGGAGAATAGGTTGAAGGAGCATAAGTTGAAGGAGCATAGGTCTGTGGAGCATAGGTTGGAGGAGCATAGGTCTGTGGAGCATAGGTTTGAGGAGCATAGGTCTGTGGAGCATTGGTTGGAGAAGCATAGGTTGGAGAATCATAGGTTGGAGAAGCTTTGGTTGGAGGAGCATATTTTGGAGAAGCATAGGTTAGAGGAGCATTGGTTGGAGGATCATAGGTTGGAGGAGCTTTGGTTGGTGGATGATAGGTTGGAGGAGAATAGGTTGAAGGAGAATAGGTTGGAGGAGCTTTGGTTGGAGGAGCTTTGGTTGGAGGAGCATAGGTTGAAGGAGCATAGGTCTGTGGAGCATTGGTTGGAGAAGCATAGGTTGGAGGAGCATAAGTCTGTGGAGCATAGGTTTGAGAAGCATAGGTTTGAGGTGCATAGGTCTGTGGAGCATTGGTTGGAAAAGCATAAGTTTGAGGAGCAGAGGTTGAAGGAGCATAGGCTGGAGGAGCATAGGTTGGAGGAGCTTTGTTTGGAGTGTCATAGGTTGGAGGAGCTTTGGTTGGAGGAGCATAGGCCTGTGGAGCATTGGTTGGAGAAGCATAGGTTGGAGGAGCATAGGTTGGAGGAGCATAGGTTGGAGGAGCATAGGCTGGAGGAGCATAGGTTGAAGGAGCATAGGTTGAAGGAGCATAGGTTGAAGGAGCATAGGTTGAAGGAGCAAAGGTTGGTGGAGCATAGGTTGGAGTAGTATTGGTTGGAGGAGTATTGGTTGGAGCAGCATAGGTTGGAGGAGTATTGGTTGGAGGAGCATAGTTTGAAGGAGCATAGGTTGGAGGAGCATAGGTTGGAGGAGCATAGGTTGGAGGAGCATAGGTTGGAGGAGCATAGGATGAAGGAGCATAGGTTGAAGGAGCATAGGTTGGAGGAGCATAGGTTGAAGGAGCATTGGTTGGAGGAGCAAAGGTTGGAGGAGCATAGGTTGGAGGAGCATAGTTTGAAGGAGCTTTGGTTGGAGGATCATAGGTTGGAGGAACATAGGTTGAAGGAGCATATTTTGGAGAAGCATAGGTTGGAGGTGCATAAGTTGAAGGTGAAGAGGCTGAAGGATGATAGGTTGAAGGAGCATAGGTTGAAGGTGCATAGGTTGGAGGAGCATAGGTTGACGGAGAATTGGTTGGAGAAGAATGGGTTTGAGTAGCATTTGAGGAATTAAAAGCATAGGTTTGCGTGGTCGGTGGAGTATATGTTGAATATACATCCTTTGTAACAGCATAGGTTGGTGGATTGGTATTTAGAGCATAGTTTAAAGTATCTTCAGCAATTTCGTCCATTTTGTCTGAATTTAAATATTCTTTAGATCTTTCTGTGGTGTGGTCATGGAAACTTCCATCATTATTCTTCTGCTTGTATTCTTGGGAACTTGGATCCTGGTATCCTTGGGAACTTATATCCTTGTATTTTTGGGAACTTAAATCCTGGTATCCTTGGAAACTTGTATCTTTGTATTCTTGGGAACTCGTAGCCTTGTTTTCTTGGAAACTGAGGTCTTTAAAATCTTGATAATTTTCGCGTTTGAACTTAGAATCACTTCTTTTGTTATCTCCAAATTTATCCGAACTCTCGTCCATAAACCCAGGAGAGCTCTTCTCCAAATCAGATTTTTTCTTCTTGAATTCATAACTCTGAGCTATCTCAGAATATCCATAAAAACTCTCCGACTCCTCAGTAAACACAGGATAAAGCTCTTCGTAGAAAACATCTGGTTCATCTTGAATAAACCTCTTCCTCTTGTTGTTATCTTTATCAAAGAAAAAGTCACTGCCAGCCTCCGAAGTATTGTCAAAATTATCAGAACCATCATCATAAATAATTTTCAGAAACTCAGGAGTACTCCTTCTCTCTCTCACAGGCTTCCTAGTCAAATCAACATTTACAAGTTAAAATTAGACAATATTAATAATTAATACAATCAAATCAATAGATTGAAAATTTCTGAAAGAGTTAAATATATCTAATAAAATGTCATTAAATGGAATTAATGAAATATTCAACCAGGTGGCGCCACAACTATTAAATAGATACTAGACTATAGGACTGGTAGGGGCCAGAAGACCTCCTATTTTCAAGGGAGGGGCTGAAAGTGGTGGTTGTCAACACATTTTTTAGAATTAGCTTAAAATGAGTGTTCGCGAAGAATTAAAGGGGGTATATAAGCTCAAGTTTAAAAATTATTAATTGTGATCGCTACTAATCTTACTTCTATCTGTTGCGTCTATAAGGAGAAAATTGTTAAAAGCGACTCATAATACTTTTTATTTTTAATAATCTGAGAGTTACTTTTGAAAACATGTATTCCAGTTTTAAGGATTTTTAATAATGAAGACGACATTTTCATATTTTCCAGGAATGTTCGAAAATCTTGCGCCAGCCATGAAAACAACTTGTAAGCTAAATATTGAAATTATATACCCCCTTTCATTTTTCGCCAACACTCCCTTTAACACTGATTAAAAGTACAAGATTAAACCATTTATATAACATCCAGTTACGAATGTAAAAAATATTTAACGTTAAGCGATTTAAAATACTAAATCGTTAACTAAAATAGGGTAAGAAGGTAAGGTAAGGCCAGCTAAAAAAGAATGTATTCTTGTAGAGTGGTCTTTTCTGTTCTTTTAACAAAAGTGCAATCAAGTCCAATCTTTAATTCTCTTAATTTGTTCAGACCCTTTTTATCAATTTTATCAGCCTTATTCAGCTGCTAGTTATTTCATTACTACATATTTTATTGTTACAACTAAAAAGATTCAAGTTCAACCCAGATCCAAATATATATTTTTTTAAATACTCTATTTTCTGGTATTTATCTGAACCTCTTTAATCAAACATGGGCGCACTAAAACTAAGAAATTGTCAACATATTTAACAAATCTATGTTTTGAAATAGTATTTTACAGTTTGCCCAAGATGGGGCTTCTTGCAGATCTCATCTCACATAATCACATAATCACCTGTGTCCTAGGGTGTTCTGTTTGAGAGGGTCAACTCTAGGACGTCCATATCTATATGATTAAATTATAATTAGAACCGAAATTAAAAACGCCAACTGCAACATGACTCAAAATGAAAGTTTGCACAAAAAGTCCAAAAAGTTCAAATTTTCATGTTTTTTTTATTAAACTGACGTAAAGATTTGGGAAAATTTGGTTCCATTCAGTTTTCGAAACAGGAAAATTTTTAATTATTAAGAAACTTATCCGTTTTAGGAGTTCAAGTAATTGCACTTATTATCCTTTTTATTGGTCATCAGTGTCCGAATTTAATGAATTTAAGCCGCGTCTCAAATCCCCAAAAAACGATTTTAATTGAGCGCCGGCTTAAATCTTGAAAAATTCAATACAATTTTAAGTGGAACCAACCATATTTTAGCCGCGGCTTAAATTTAAGCCGCCGCTCGAATTCTTTAAATTCGGCCTCAGGTCTGACTAAATTCTATCATTTAATTCAAAAGTTACTTGTTCGGGTAATTGAGATAAACAGATCAAATTTAGCATAAATCAAAGATATTAAATGTCGTCTTCCATGACAATTAAACTAATCCAATTTCACCCAGTTTTTCTAGATCGAAGAAATGAAATAAAGATAATTTGAAGCACAGAGTCAACTAATGCATCACAGAGTGACCTGAGTCATTTTAATTATTGTAAAGTCTTGAAGTTAAAAGAGGTCAATAAATAAGGTTTTTGGGGCCACTTTGGGCTGAAAACCCTTATCCAGCTGTTTTTGGACGACCCTGTATGTAGAGAAGGAGAAATAACTCACCCAAACTCAATCTGAAAGAAAAATAACCAAATAAATTAAGAATGAATGAAACGAAATGTGAACATTCTCTTGTAATCATTGGTTTGGTTGGTTTTAGATAAAAGGGTTATGTGTAAAGGATTAAATGAAAGGGCTACCTGTAAAGGATTATATGAAAGGGCTACCTGTAAAGGATTAAATGAAAGGGCTACCTGTAAAGGATTAAATGAAAGGGCTACCTGTAAAGGATTGTATGAAAGGGCTACATGTAAAGGATTAAATGAAAGGGCTACCTGTAAAGGATTGTATGAAAGGGCTACTAGCAAAAGATTAAATGAAAGGGCTACCTGAAAAGGATTAAATGAAAGGGCTACCTGTAAAGGATTAAATGAAAGGGCTACCTGAACAGGATTATATGAAAGGGCTACCGGTAAAGGATTGTATGAAAGGGCTACCAGTAAAAGATTAAATGAAAGGGCTACTTGAAAGGATCAAATGAAAGAGCCAGACTACCTGTAAAGAATTACGTGAAAGGACTACCTGTAAAGGATTATATGAAAGGGCTACCTGTAAAGGATTATATGAAAGGGCTACCTGTAAAGGATTATATGAAAGGGCTACCTGTATAAAGAAAAGAAACAATTTCAACGTAGTTTCACGGTAAGACACCATTCCGTTCTTAACACCAAGATTCAGAATTGAACTGATTTGTTTAAAATATAGTTTATACTGTACAAACTGTACAAAACTCAATGTTTTTAATGTTTGAAGTACAAAGGGTGCAAGGAAGATAAAAAGGAACACTCCTATCATGAAAAGTGTACTGATTTTCTGGGGGAAAAATAAACAAACTCTTTGATTCTTAGTTTTGCCTATATTTAGTTTATATACTAATTGTACACAAATTTATGGAGATCTTTGTGAACACCTCCTTGTATGTGTGCTGGTATATTTTAAAAGTTTTTGCATATTGACATTAACGTAAGCTTTTGTAATGGATGTATGGGCATGGGATTGTTTCATAGACGTTTGTTTACCAATCTACTATTTGAAAAAATTATTGCTGAGGGCCGGGCATTACAAAAAATAAATAACGGAGCTGTTGGCAATCTTTTTTATTTATTAACCCTATCCCGATTGGACTATTTTTGTCTAAAATAGATTGGGGGGGGGGGAGGTTATCCCCCCCCCCTATGAGTTGAGATAAGGGAATGTATTACATGTCCATAGTCTAACTTTTCAGGGTCTGCTCTTTAAAATAAATAGACCTCTAACTTTAAAGTTCAGGGTGTGAAGGAGGACTTTTAAAAAGTTCAAAAAGTAGGTCGAAAAACTTTTCAAAAATAATTATTTTTACTTTTGAAAAATATTAACATAGAAAAATGTTGTTATGTTCATTTTTCATGGCCTTTTCAAATAAAAAAGTTATTAACAATTTCTGATTTTTTAAAACACCGACCCGCCGTTTGACCATTCTCCACCCTTGACCTACCCTATGAGTCAAAATTTTTTTTTTGCAAAATTTGTTATGATGTTGAAAAAGTAAGCAAGTTTTAGCGTTCTAATGTAAGCCATTTAAAAGTTATTCAGAATAAACCAAGGGGGGGGTGGGGGGTGGTTAAGATGAGAGGTATGTATTTAACTTTCTGCATCATGGTATCTTGCCACTACATGCAAATGCAACATATTGTTGATACGTACAATATTTAAATTTCAATCTTTTATAAAGCTCCTGATTCGTGCTACAAGTTTTGTGAGAACAATTTTACTGTTTCCAGTATAACATATCATCATTTAATTAATATATATATTTATATAATTCATTTTGTATTAGTTGAATTAACATGAAAAAATTCTTTAAGTTGTCACTGTCATTTTTTTATGCACCATGAACTAATTATACAGGATGTCTCACGAAACATGACAGTAGCAAGACGACATTTATACCCCCTAGTATTGGCATTTCCAAAATGTGGTCTGCCTTTTGTGCTTTTAACATAACCGGAGATAAAAAGAATTTCCTGAAGATTTCGACAATGCTAGTTTTATTTAGTAAAATTGAATTTTAATAAAATTCTTAATATCTCCAGTAACATTGACGGAACAAAAAATTGGCAGAACGCATTTTGGAAATTGATTATTGTTTCAAAAATTATACATGTTAAGGTAGGTTGACGACTGAATGTCATCATTGAATTCAAAGATCCAAGGCGACTTTAATGTTTCTTGGGGGACCCTGTATTTAAAGAAACTCGTGCGAATCATGAGATAGAATCTCAGTAGAATCTCTGATAGTACTCTTGAGTTAAGAGGATTAAGAAGCTTGAAAATAAATCCATTTTACATAAATTTAAATGTATTCTATGTAATATTCAGGTTTTGAAGCCCGACCCTGTGACAGCTGTTGCTTGTGGTCGCCACCATACTTTGGTGGCGCTAGAGTCGGGAACTGTCATGGCGATGGGTTCCAATAGTGAGGGTCAGCTGGGGTGTGGTCGGAACCCGGAGTGCACAACTGAACCAATTCAAGTTTTAGGTTCGTTATAACAGTCCCAGTCCCATGAAACTGTTGGTTATGATTTTATTTGTAAAGTCCAATGAACATGAAACACATGAATGAGCAGTGTACACAAACACATTTTGCTGATTTTTAATTGCTATCATGGTAAAAAGATTTGCTTTTTAACTTAACATCAAATACACAGTCGATTGTTAAAATGTAGAGTGGGTCACATTTGGCTTTTTTCATTTCGTTTGTTCATCATTTATTGACGACCCATTTGATTTTGTTCGTTCTCAACATTATCGTTCATTACCTATCTATTTTGTTCGTTTTCTTGCTGAACGATTGTTCAGTAAAACCATCGCCTTAAAAAAAGTTTGTTTTAAAAAATCGTTTTTTCAATAAAAACTATAGTTTTTTCAAAATATTTCGGAAATATCGTTTGTTCCATCGTTTACATACCATCATTTTTATAAATTATTGCTTTAAGAAATCAAATAAAATTGTTAAAAATACTACAAATGAAATGTATTATGTATTATATAATTGTATCTCAGAACACTTTAAAACGTTTTGAAATGCTTTTAAGACGCATCGATCCTTTTTTACTTTCAGTATCAATTATTGCTTTTAATTGTGGCTTTTCAATCCACCATTTTGTTTCTTTGTATACATAATAAAAATACCAGTTTTGAGAATTTTGCTATTACTATTGATAAATTTCAAAAATATCAAATCAACATTTTTTCTAAAGCTATTTTTTTTATTTTTGGACTTATGATCCAAAGAAACACACATACAAGCAAAATATAGATCATATAAATATATATAAATGATTGTAGGTCTTGATAATGCTTCTATTGAAAAACTAGCGGCAGGAAGTAATCATTCACTGGCGCTGACAACTGAGGGGCAGGTATACAAAATATATATTATATCCCGCCCATAAATGTAAAATAAAAAAAGTCATAAAATTTATTTTTCGGAATTTTCATCTTATTTACTTCTCTCTGTAGGATATTGATTAGGCAACATTTCGGGGATTTCATTTCCTTCTGCAATCTGAACTCATAGAATTGAATGCTTAATATTTTTGTCGAAGCATCAAACTACACAAAACTTTTCAAAATTTCAATTGGTATTGTTAAAAATTGTGAACTAGTAGACTAGATAGGGAGGACTTTTACATTTTTAAATCCATATCAATCAGTTTAAAATATCGATGAAAATTCTCGTCATTTTGATGAGGTCGATATAACGATGTTAAGGTTTTATCATCTGACATCATTGTTTAGATTGTTCAAATCTTCATTATTTTTAACCCTTGTACTGTAATAGGAAAATCTGAAAATAAAACATCACAACAGGGTTTGTGTTTGGAATATAAATATATGGAAAATAGGTTTCTCAAAGCTATCCTTTAAAATTCGCATGTTTTAAAAATCTCCCTTTATAGGTTTATGTCTGGGGAAGCAACACTGAGGGTCAACTTGGCCTAGGGGAGGAAGGAGAAGAGTTCATTTATAGTCCACTTAAACTTAATCTTAGTTTCAAGGTAAGTCAACCTTAATCTTAGTTTCAAAGTAATTCAAGGTTAGATTTTAAGGTAATTCAGACTTAATCATAGGTTTAAATTAAATCAAGCTTAATCTAAATTTTTTAAAATTGTGCTATGTATGCTTAACCTAGATTCTTAGTCTAGGTTTCCACATTATTCAAACGTAATCTAAGTTTTAAGATAAGTTTAGCTTAATCATAGTTTCAAAGTAATTCAAGCTTAATCTAAGTTTCTAGGTTAGTCAAGCTTAATCTAGATTTCAAGGTAATTCAAGCTTAATCTATGTTTCAAGATAATTCAAGCTTAATCTAGATTTCAAAGATAATTCAACCTTAATCTAGGTTTCAAGATAATTCAAACTTAATCTAGGTTTCAAGATAATTCAAACTTAATCTAGGTTTCAAGATTATTCAAGCTTAATCTAGGTTTCAAGATAATTCAAGCTTAATCTAGATTTCAAAGATAATTCAAGCTTAATCTAGGTTTCAAGATAATTCAAACTTAATCTAGGTTTCAAGATAATTCAAACTTAATCTAGGTTTCAAGATAATTCAAGCTTAATCTAGGTTTCAAGAAAATTCAAGCTTAATCTAGGTTTCAAGATAATGCAAGCTTATTCTATGTTTCAAGATAATTCAAGCTTAATCTAGGTCTCAAGATAATTCAAGCTTAATCTAGGTTTCAAGATAATTTAAGCTTAATCTAGGTTTCAAGATAATTCAAGCTTAATCTAGATACTAAATGCATCCCTTAGATTATTATATAAAAAGAGTTTTGGGTCTCATCATAATTATATTTAACCCTGTATAAATTCTTAATTTTAAAATAGACTTATGTTTAAGGTTGTTGATATATCTTGTGGATATTATCACAGCGCGCTGGTCAATCAAGCTGGTGAGGTGTACTGCTGGGGGGAGAGTGAAGGGGGTAGACTGGGGTTAGCTGGAGCAACTGGAGACACAGATACGCCGAGAATGGTAGGTTTAACTTTCACAAAAAACCAGATTATAATTGTACAGTGAGAACCAGAGAACTGTGGAATAGAAAGGCGACATTAAAGCAATATTTTCGTTTACTTATTGTTGATACAAAGCAAATAGTTTTACGCTATAGCTTAAGGCACACTTATCACATACCAATGTCATGTTTTATGTTTATTGGACTTTTTAGAATCATAATTTCCTGTTCCATAGTTCTCTGGATCTCACGGTCTGTATCCCTGTATAGGTTAGTTTACCAGAGAAGGTTATCTCTGTATCCCTGTATCCCTGTATCTCTGTATCTCTGTTTCTCTGTATCTCTGTATCTCTGTATCTCTGTATCCCTGTATAGGTTAGTTTACCAGAGAAGGTTATCTCTGTATCCCTGTATCTCTGTATCCCTGTATCTCTGTATCTCTGTACCCCTGTATCTCTGTATATCTGTATCTCTGTATCTCTGTACCCTGTATCTCTGTATCTCTGTATCTCTGTATCTCTGTATCCCTGTATCCCTGTGTCTCTGTGTCTCTGTATCTCTGCATCCCTGTATCTCCGTATCTCTGTATCCCTGTATCTATGTATCTCTGTATCCCTGTACCCCTGTATTTCTGTATCTTGTATCTCTGTATCTCTGTATCCCTGTATCCCTGTATCTCTGTATTTCTGTATCTCTGCATCCCTGTATCTCTGTATCTCTGTATCTCTGTATCCCTGTATCTCTGTATCTCTGTATCTCTGTATCCCTGTATCCCTGTATTTCTGTATCTTGGATCTCTGTATCTCTGTATTTCTGTATTCCTGTATCCCTCTATCTCTGTATCTCTGTATCTCTGCATCCCTGTATCTCTGTATCTCTGGATCCCTGTATCTCTGCCTCCCTGTATCTCTGTATCTCTTTATCCCTATATCTATGTATCTCTGTATCCCTGTATAGGTTAGTTTACCAGAGAAGGTTATCTCTGTATCCCTGTATTCCTGTATCTCTGTATCTCTGTATCCCTGTATCTCTGTATCTCTGTATCTCTGCATCCCTGTATCTCTGTATCTCTGTATCCCTGTATAGGTTAGTTTACCAGAGAAGGTTATCTCTGTATCGTGTGGTGGACTCCATACAATTGCTCTCACTCAGGTGAAAATCTGAAGAAAAAGTTATAATTTTATTCAATTAAAATTCGAGTAATGATGACAAATAAAAAAAATATTTAAACGCAACATTTTCTTTCTTTTTATAAAAGATTTAATTTTAGAAAAAATATACAGTGAGAACCTGAGAACTGCTAAATAGGAAGACGACTTTCAGACTCAAGTTATGACTTTAGATAGTCTAGGGAACATGAAACACAGCAATTATGTATTGTAAACCGAAACATTCACTTTAATAAGTAATTCAATACGTTTCTAGTTAAACTATTTGCTTTGAAAAAGCATCAAATACACTTAAATTGACAGTTTAATGGCGTCTTCCTAATCCACAGTTTTCTGGTTCTCACTGTACAATTAAAACATATTCACAGTTTCTTTACCATAAAAAAAAATATTTTACAAATTGTAGGAAAATAAAAATTCAATAAAAAAACACTTTTACTTTTAGAGTGGTCGCGTATACTGCTGGGGGCAGAGTACACATGGTCAGCTAGGTTTAGGAACAAGGTTAACCCTATCTCCGCTGGGGTACTTGAAAACCAGGATACGCTGGGGGGGGGTCAATTTGACCCCCCCCTCTAAATCCCATGTTTTATGTCCAAATATGACAAATGATACATCATTAGAAAGCTCTTGTGCTCTACTTTTAGAATCTGCAAAAAAATTTGCAAATTTTCGACATTTTTTTAATATCTGAAATGTTTGAAAATATGTATTCATTTTCAAAATGGCAAGGATAAACGATCTATAAAACTGCATCAACTTTATTGAACAAAGTTTAGAAATCCTTGTTAACCATCCATAAACTTTACCTGGGGCCATGTGAGGTCCCAAACAATATTCGGGCTTGATCGGTTCAGCCGTTTTGAACAAACAAACAAACCAACATGCAAGCAAAACATAAATATATATATTATTTATTATAAATAATATATATTTTATATTATATAAATAAATATATAATATAATAACCATATTATATTACATATATATAGATCATATTTTTTAACAAAATAATCTTTTTTTAGAATTTTAGAGTCTTCCACTCCCCATCCTATAGGAGCACTATCCCATCTTAATATTGTACAGTAAGTTAATTAAACTAGATATACAGGGTGTCCCAGGAGTCCCGGGAACATAAAAGTTTAAAGTTGATTTGAAGGTCGTCTTCTATCTTTAATAACAATCTAAGGACTAGGCTTGCACAAATTTGATTGATTGATTGATGATCAATGATCTAAGAAGATGTTAAGGTGATCTCTAAACTATCATGTTTAGGGGGACACCTTGAACTAGAAATACTTGTTCCTCAACATTATTATGTTCCAAAAAGTAAATTACAATTGTAAAGTTTTTTTGTTATTGAGACGACTGAATGAATTCTTTTCAGTTTTTCTCTTTTTACATTAAAGCTTTAAACTTTATTATTTTACGCCAGATTACCAATACCTAGTTTGCTAGATAAGACTTTTTTATGGCAGAACATCAAAGGTTAATTTCTAAATAAAAAGAAAGGCCTCCAAAAGTGACCATCTCCGATTTGGATGAAATTTTATACACAGCTTAATGCTTAAAAAAACATATTTAATTTTCTATTTTTTTGTAGACCTCTGGGGTCAAGTTTAAAGATGAAAATTTTAGAAAAAAAAATTTTATTCGTTTATAAGTAACTTAAAATAATAATTATAAAATATAATAGTCAGTTTTAAGCCCATCAGAATGGTCGAAAAGGCATTATTGATTTCAAAAATGGTTTCCTCGGGCCATGCAGAAACCCATATTTGAGACATTTCATGATTTATGAGATTTTTTAGTCTTAAGATACCGATGAAGTCTGATAGCTATGAATTATGGAAATTAACACTAAACACTAAACTCTATTTACAATAGAGAAAAAATGTTTTCAAATATTTTTTAAAAGATCTTTTTTGGTCTTTTTCTGCATATATGTATATCTATTTAATTTTTGTATAAAGTTGCGGAAAAGTTTTGACACATTTTTAATTATTAAATTATTTTTTTATTCAAGAATATCGACCGGTGAGAATCACAGTGTTTGTGTCAGCAACAATGGCCGTCTGTATGTCTGGGGAGACGGGAGGTAATGAACAACAATAGTAAACTTTTATTTTTTTTACGTTTTTACTCTCAATACTCTTTAAAGTTTTCTACTGAATATCGAGTTGAGTCGTTGAATTCCCGTTGAAGTCGGATAAAGAATACAAAAAATCACAGCGTCGCTAATCAAAAAAATTGCATAAATTGTGCAAACGTAAAATATGCATGTATAAAATCATTATATCAGCGTTTAATCAAACCAATGCAAAAAAATGTGTTAAATGATACCAAAAAGAACACTCGCAATATACCTTAATTTCTAAAAATCATTTTCATCGACATATACTTTATTTTTCTATTTTCTTTTCATCTGATTGCAATATTTTAGATATGGGAAGCTATGTTTGGATTTAGAAACGACGACCAACCATTTCTCCCCGGCTTATGTTACAAGATTTAAAGAATTTAAGGTATCAATCAAACGTTATGCAGCTAGTGTTACATTCATCATTTTCAATTAGATTTTGGGAAAAAGTTGAAGGTTCTAGTTGAAGGTTTAGCCAATTTTCAAGGGCGTTCTTAGACTTCTCCAAAAATCCTTTCGATAGCTCTGCATCAACTTACACTTGTAAACTAAAAAAAAATCTAAAAATCTTTTAAATTAATCTTATTTAAAACTTAAAATGAGAACGCCATAGGGTAAAACCTAAAGCTTTTTAGGGATACGTGACTTTTAAGCATACCCTAGAAATTAACTTTTTAAATTTTGATATTGTTTTCATTGTTATATTATTATTATTGTTGTGCCTACAAGATTTATTCAGTCATTTTTTGTCAAATCTTTCAGCTTAACCATTAACAGATTAACAGAGTTAAACCTTAAGTTTGCTAACTAAAAAAAGTGAACACTGTCCATCCCTTATTATCCCTAGAGATGGGCACATTCGAATTTTTTTTCGTTTGTTCATTGTTCGTAAAAGACCCATTCCGTTCGTTTTCTCACTGAACGATTGTTCAGTAAAATCGTTTGTCCAGTAAAATCGTTTGTTCAGTAAGATCTTTTGTAAAATAAAAAACTATGGTTTTTTAAAAGTTTGATCCAAACAGTGTTTGTTAAGTGAAAGAAAGATTTTTTTTCTTGAAAATCTGTTGGAAAATTCGTTAGTTCAGCAAAAAAGCGATCGTTTTTTTCATGTTTGTTCTTACGATTTTAAATCTTTTTTTCATTCGTTTTTAAACACGATAATTCTTTCATTTATTTGAACGATCCATTTCGTTCGTTCATTATTAGTTTTTTTTCTGAACGACACCATTTTTCACTAAAATTTTTGTTTGTTCTCAAAAATTACGTTCGTTCCAAAAAACGATGTCCATCTCTAATTATTCCCTCTCTAGTGTAGATAGGATTAAAGGCAGGAATTGGTCTGAAAATCTGTGGTAGTATTTTCCAGTAAAAATTATAAAACTGAGGAATACGAAGACAACTTTTAGACACAAGTTAAATTGATTTTAAATTGTCTAATTAACATGAAATGCAGCAAAAGCAACTGTACAGTGTTTACACTAAATGGAAAATTTCAGATAATAAGGGATTTAAAGCTTTTTGTAAAGCATTTTTTTTTATCTTAAAGTTTGATGCAGAATTATATGAAAAAAAGTTCTGGTTGTCACTTTGCTTGTTTAGGTTATTACAGCAAAGTGTGGAGGATGTCATACAATGGTTCATGGTGTACCAGGGTATACACAAAGTGAAGATGAGGTAGGAGAACAAATAATAAATATTTTGCTTTTCTAATCTTTGAAATTTTTTTTTAAAGTTTAAACTATTGGAAGAATAATCATTGATTTCATAGAATAAGGAAAAGGACAAATAATTTACGATGATAGGGAACTTTTTATTCAAGACCTCTAATTATCATAGATAAATAAATAAACATAGATAGGTTATGTACGCAAAATCACCAAGAATTGTACAGTCCGCGAACTCATACTTCTAGGGGTCAAAGTGTACTTCAATGATAAGTGGGGTGGCTTGGTGTTTTAATTTAAATATTTGAACAACAATATTTTACTGAGCAATTCATCATATTGGCGGGAACTGAAGAAGGACATGAGAAGGACTAAACTAACTTAAATTTCTCTCTACAGAACTCATGTACACAACAAGTACTCAATGACATAAGAACAGAAAATGTTCACAACCGACCTAGTTAATCTATACGATAGGAATATCTTTAAAACATCTCTGTACATTTATATCGTTCAAGATGAAAAATGTCGTCTTATGCGCAATCTATCTTTATCCATGCTAATTACATATAGATATACAAAGGTCGCATATATGATCTATATACTTAAACCCTTTACTCATATATCTATATACTAAATCTCTTTGCTCATACATATATATATTTGTATATTAGTATATATATATTTGTTAGTTATAGCTGGCCAAATTGGCTGGAACTGGCGTTGACATTGTATTTTCTTATTTCAACTACTAATCAAATTTATTTTAATTTGATTTGTGTTCAGGATGATCAAATATTGATTTGTTTTTAGGATTATCAAATATTGAATTGTGTTTAGGATGTTCAAATATTGAATTGTGTTCAGGATGATCTAATATTGATTTGTGTTCAGGATGATCTAATATTGATTTGTGTTTAGGATGATCAAATATTAATTTGTGTTCAGGATGATCTAATATTGATTTGTGTTTAGGATGTTCAAATATTGAATTGTGTTCAGGATGATCAAATATTGATTTGTGTTCAGGATGATCTGATATTGATTTGTGTTTAGGATGTTCAAATATTGAATTGTGTTCAGGATGATCAAATATTGATTTGTGTTCAGGATGATCTGATATTGATTTGTGTTCAGGATGGTCTAATATTGATTTGTGTTCAGGATGATCGAATATTTATTTGTGTTCAGGATGATCACATTGTGTTTAGGATGATCAAATATTGAACGAATCAATCAATGAAGAAGTAAACCTTGAAGCAAGAGAAAGAAGGAGAAGTGGGATTAGCAGGTTAAAAAGCTTTCTTTAAAAACAGTGTCTGCTAATCTATTTCTTGTTGGATTTAACAATTTATTCATTTAAAAATAACTGTCATACAGCGCAAATACCTCTTATGATTCTAAAAATGATTTTTAATTTTTATTTTTCGAAAATTCACAAAAAATATTCCGTTATAGGGAAGAAAGTTTAAAGGGTCCTGCTCCTTTGCCACCTATAAATTCCTCGCCAACTAGAACAGTTGCGGAAACTACCGAAGACAATGATCTGAAAGAGAACAAGGAAATTGAGAAACCTGAACAAATTGAGGAAGAAAAAAAATGCGGGAAAATTAGCAAATTTTTTAGCGGATTTAGGAGAAAAAAATCAGTTCTGAAAAGAGAACTAGCATTGGAAGAAGACAAAGAAGAAGAAAGTGAGAGAAAGGAGGAGGTGAATGGCAAAAAGGAGGATGAGGAGGGAAACAACAAAGAAGAAGGGAAGGAAGAGGACAGCAAAGAGGAAAGTGATAAAAGTGACTCCAAACCAGTTTCAGAAAATGGTGAACGTGATACCAATAGTGATCATGAAGATAACGATCATGATGAAAAAGCAAAGAAAAAAGTTTCATTTTTTAGCAGATTTTCTAAAGGAAATGAAACAACTGTAGAAATTATTGGAGAGGAACCCAAAGGAGGAAAGGGGTTAAAGAATTTCTTAAAGAATACAAATGTCAACAAAGATGACTCTTCCAAGATACGAGACGATGCCGTCAATGACAACGACTATGATAATGACGAAGAGAATGATGATGATGATAATACTGATGATAGTATAAAAGATTCAGGTACCGACAATTGTTGTTAGTTCATAATAGAAAGAGTAGAATTTATGGTGTTAGAAACTTTCCCAGAGGCATTTACCAAGTGGCAACTTCCCAAATGTGCAATTTCCCAAGCGGCAACTTCCTAAAGGTTAGGTTGGACCCCCTGAGGCGCTGGAGGCTGCAATGGGGGCCGAGCGCTGCAGCTAGGATGGGCTAGCGGGCCAAGCGCCGCGGCCAGAACAGGCTGGTGGCTGGTACAGACTTGGGAAGATGCCACTTGGGAAATTGTCACTTTGGAAAATACCCTTGTGAAGTTGCCACTTGGGAAACATCCTTTGGCCAAGTACCTAACATCGAATTAATAACTTTAATCATTTATTCAAAATAATTTAGAAAACGATTCGTTGTCTTCATCCTCTTCCCTGTCTGGAGTGCAAACCAAACCTAAACCTAAACTTGAACCTAAAACTAGCAGTAAACCTGGGAATGGGGTCGGGAGCCCTACCTCTAATGGAGCTGGGAGCCTTGGCTCAAATGAAACAAGTTCAATTACTTCTCCGAAAAACACTGTAAAATCTAAAACCTGTTCTATATTCTAGAAGTTTCTAAACCCTGTTCTATATTTTAGAAGTTTTTAAACTCTGTTCTATATACTAGAAGTTTGTAAACCCTGTTCTATATTCTAAAAGTTTGTAAACCTTGTTCTATATTTTAGAAGTTTTTAAACCCTGTTCTATATTTTAAAAGCTTCTAAACCCTGTTCTATATTTTAAAAGTTTCTAAACCCTGTTCTATATTTTAGAAGTTTCTAAAACCTGTTCTTTATTTTAGAAGCTTCTAAACCCTGTTCTATATTTTAGAAGCTTCTAAACCCTGTTCTATACTCTAGAAGTTTCTAAACACTGTTCTATTTTCTAAGTTTCTAAACCCTGATCTATATTTTAGAAGTTTCTAAACTCTGTTCTATATTTTAGAAGTTTCTAAACCCTGTTCTATATTTTAGAAGTTTCTAAAACCTGTTCTATATTTTAGAAGTTTCTAAACCCTGTTCTATATTTTAGAAGCTTCTAAAACCTGTTCTATATTCTAGAAGTTTCTAAGCCCTGATCTATATTTTAGAAGTTTCTAAACTCTGTTCTATATTTTAAAAGTTTCTAAACCCTGTTCTATTTTCTAGAAGTTTCTAAACCCTGTTCTATATTTTAAAAAGTTTCTGGACCCTGTTCTATATTCTAGAAGTTTCTAAACCCTGATCTATATCTTAGAAGTTTCTAAACTTTGTTCTATATTTTAGAAGTTTCTGAATCCTGTTCTATATTTTAGAAGTTTCTAAACCCTGTTTTATATTCTAGAAGTTTTTAAACCCTGTTTTATATTCTAGACGTTTCTAAACCCTATTCTATATTCTAGAAGTTTCTAAACTCTGTTTTATATTCTATGTAGAAGTTTCAAAACCCCGTTCTATAGTCTAGAAGTTTCTAAACCCTGTTCTATTTTCTAGAAGTTTCTATACCCTCTTCTATATACTAGAAGTTTTCGAACTCTGCTCTATATTCTAGAAGTTTCTATACCCTGTTCTATTTTCTAGAAGTTTCTAAACTCTGTTTAATATTCTAGAAGTTTTTAAACCCTGTTTTATATTCTAGACGTTTCTAAAACCTGTTCTATATTCTAGAAGTTTCTAAACCCTGTTTTATATTCTATGTAGAAGTTTCAAAACCCTGTTCTATAGTCTAGAAGTTTCTAAACCCTGTTCTATTTTCTAGAAGTTTCTATACCCTCTTCTATATACTAGAAGTTTTCGAACTCTGTTCTATATTCTAGAAGTTTCTATACCCTGTTCTATATTCTAGAAGTTTCTAAACTCTGTTTTGTATTCTAGAAATTTCTTTATTTTATTTAAATCAATTGATTCTATATATTGCACAATCAGTCCCAATAAAAGTAGTAATAGAATATAGAAGAGAGTGAGGATTACACATCGTCTGAAAGGAATTGAAATTTTACAACAAACTCTGATTTCTAATCTCATATAATTTTGCAACATAATGCCAAAGACCTCAGATATTTTAAACAATGAATGCTTTTAGATTAAATAATCTAAGTGTGAAATACAGAAGGTTCCAAAGACTTAGGCATTGAAAAAATTGAGTTTGTGGCAAAGACTCCATTTCTTTATATTTCACACATATCTTAAAAAAATCTTGAACGAAAGTTAACACCAAATTGAGGCGTAGTATGTTTATTGTTTTATGAATGTGCTCACTTGGGAACCCTGCTTTGCCTGGAGCTAATAAATATTTCAAAGCAAACTAATAAGATCCCCGTGGTTCTACCTAGAGCCCCAATCAAAATTTGAGGCAGATCAGTCAAGGGGTTCACAAGTTTATATCGGACATAGAAACAGAAATCTGTCAAAAGTCTAATTTATTCAATAACAACGAAATCTTTAAAATGTTTAATATCTCCGTCAATTTTGAAGATATAAAGAAGTACCGCAAATCACTGAGGAATACGCAGAGAGCTTAGTTTAGGGTGTGCAGAGCACATTATCTTTATATTTACACATTAACTTTATCATTAAACAATTAACGGAATTCGAAGACGATTTTCAAGTCGTCTCTTAATTCCTGGGTTTATTGAGACACCCTGTATATAGATATATTTTTAATGTTTAATGCAGTCTTTCTATTAATTAACAAACAATGAACGTTTCTTCAGAGAATCACTTAATTTAATCAGAGTATGTTTAGTTTAAACAAAATCCAGAAAATGAACGAAAAAAAAATTAAAATTAAAAATCGTCTTTTGTCTTACAAATAATTTGCGGCATTTATGGTCGCGTGTCTTTATCGTGCTCTTAAAACTATCGGAGGTAAAAAAGATCTTCGTTTAGATTTACTCAAAAAGTATGAAACTGTAATGACGACGATCTTAATGGTAAATTAAGTGTTTTGCCATGAATGTCGTCTTTTAATAGATTATTTAATAAATTAGCAAAGACGAAACAAGGTTACAGTTGCAAGGAATCATGCACTAAGTAAAAGACAACATAATTCTGTACAGTCGTCTCTGAAGTCTCCTTCCTTATAAGTAACCCTGTATGTTGGTTTTATCCTAAAAAAAATCTAAGTAAAATTCTTTATAATTAAACAGCACACAGGAATTTGGTAATTAATGTTTCAAAAACCATAATTGTAAAAGTCAAATCACGAAAGAAGCCGGAATTTATTTTACAGACGATCTCTAAACAGTTTCTTGGGACACCATTTAACTACCAATCCAATAAACATTTTTAATGTTTTTGTTTTATTTAGGGTTTCCATTCGCAAAACTTTTGCGAAAGGAAGTTATTCTGTTTTGCGGAACAACTTCTCATTTAAAGGTTGATTAAAGGTGTAAAAAGTTAGTTGTCTATGAGCTTACACTTTTTGGCTTCTAATTGCAATGCTTGAAAAGGAACTGATTACTTTTACCTAGAACTCTGCTTTGCAACCTGATGCATATGATGGCCGACTGCAAACCAAGATATGCATGCGCTCTCACACAAAAATCAAGCAGTATTTTCCACTTAAGCTAGCATTTTTAAGATGTATGTCTAGAGTGAAGCATGAAAAATCTACCAGTATTTATATTAATTTTTTTCAAGAACTCTCGTTATGCATGCGTCAGATAAATGTGTTTTTAGAATATTCCATACCTTAAAAGTGCATATAAGGAAAGATATTTTAATGAGCACGTATTCAGAATGTAAATTTGATTCTCATGAGATTTATCTCAATTTACATATTCACTTTCCTGTTCGCAAGCAGAAGCAGTTATTCCGCGCAATGGAAACTCAAAGTGCGAGCCGTGCAATCTTTTGCTAATACATATCTTTATATCAGATAACCAGACACAAACTTTACATATTTCTGAAAAATGTGTTAAAATTCTTTAAAAATAAAAAAAATAGAAAACTACTTTGTGACTTAATGCTTAATTCGTTTCGAAAGCAATACTAACACACCTCTTGGCTTTACTAGAAAATTTTGTAACTTCATCAAAATAAACATTGTACAATTTGAAAACTAAAAACGTAAGAGAGGACAAATTTCGTAAATAATGTTTAGAAACAATCAAAGAATGTGGATCCGGGCACCAGTCCCTTATACAGTAAATATAAATCTCATGGACAAGAATACACTCCAACAGTTTGTATTATGTTGTTTTCTAAGTCTAATATTATCACCTGCCGTTCTCACACACCTCTGCCAGATTATTATAAGTAAATTCAACCTTTATAAAGCATAAAGTCTGACCGCGTCAACCTTGTTGCACCGGCTAGTCCTGTCCATAGAGCCTAGTACAGTACAAACTTGGACCGGAAAGGTTGACCCGGCTCGGAAATTCAAATGTACTACGGCTGCCCGTGCTCTGCGCATTTCATGGTTTTTCAATAATTGTATGCATACACCTCACACCTTTTCCAATTACATCCCCAAGACAAAGAGTATTTATTCAGAGTAGGGTTGACAAATCCAAAAAATATTTCCTTGAATTCTAGAGACCTTGTGGTATTAATTTCATTAAGATTAGGTAAAAAAATAAGCCTCTGAGAGAAATAAGTGTAAAGTGTTAGATTTTCTTTGACACTCTTGAATTTTCAACTCTGACAAGGGTAAAAAAACAGATTTTATTACAAACTGTTAAAAATTTTATAAACCCCTGCTGCACATTATCACATTAATACATTACATAGGACAAACCACCCTTTTAACAAAAAAGGTTAAATACACGTCAATCAATAATATTAAGATAAAAGATCAGTGACCTACGCCAACCAATCTGGTCAGTGGTCAGTGACCTCTTCTAGTCAAGCTGGTGAGTGATCCCATTAAGCAAGCTGGTCAGTGACCTCAACGAGCTTTTCAGCAATTCCGACCTCACCCATTGAATGTCCAGCATCAGCAACCACCTAAATAGTGAAGGCTATATTTAACCAAACTTTCAATCAAACAGAATACACGGAAAAACAATATTAAAATTTTTAAGTTTAAAACCTAAGATGCTTGGGATGTTTAAAAAGTTGCAATAAGTATGAAAAACTATATATGCCCCCACCCCCTCTATTAAGTATTGACAAAATTATAGAAATTAAACAAAACGGACCGGATTGTTCTGAACTTAATTTCTAAAAGTACGATTTGTAGGTTATAGAAAGTCATTAATTACCAAGGTGCACAAATTTAGAATATCAGTTAATATACAGTTCAACCCATACTTCCTAGACATGGGCAGAATTTATAAAATGTCATTTTTTAAACTATTGATAATAAAATGCTGAACAATTAAGTTTTTTAGTTAAATAATAATATGGAGCTCTTAAACACTCCCCGAATATTTTATGGCTATTTATTTATTTTACAATTACCGAGATTTAGATAGTTTAAACCAAAGTACTAATGCAAGGAAAATTAATTGCGGTCGCGTATACTCTGCGTACATATTGAAACCAGTTCTCTCTGGGCGGAATTTGTAAACAAGAATAGATTCATCAGTGTTCGTCTGGTATCCGAGGAGGTTAAAAGCATTTAATTTTGATAATTTTGAAAATTCATATAATAGTTTCCTGTGACTAGAATATTTCATAGATTTTTTTTGTGAAAATGGATTCCATGTCAGGCTGTGACATCCGTCTTGAGTTTACTTTCCGCCCAAAGACAGTACACTGCAGTATAAAAAATGTGTGCACCTCTGAAATAACTTTCCTTGCATTAGTACCTTGTTTTAAACCCTTTTGAAAAAATGTCGAGGCGAAATGTTAAACATAGATTCTTTCGATGACTAGTCCAAAGTTCTAGGTTTAACTATAGAAAGGCATTAATTTACAAGATCAGTTAACATAGTTTACTCATAAAAAATAAGATACAGTAAGAACCAGAAACCTGTGGAATAGGAAGACGACATAAAGAAATAATTAGGTGTACTTGATGTTGTCTAAAAGCAAATAGTTTTACTCTTAACTTATTGAAGTCCTTAATTAGTGAAATTTGACTGTTTTAAAGTCATATAACTTTAGTTAAAAAGTCGTCTTTAGTCTAAAAGTCGTCTTCCTATTTCAGAGTTTTTTGTTTTCACTGTGTCAGAGTCTAAAATAATTCTTCATTTCTTTTTGTTTTCATTGTCAAGCCATTTAGCATTTTTTAAATACTCCATTAGAGTAAGTGAAGAGAATACAACCTCTAAATCGTCATTCTTTCTTAGATCGACATAATGCAATAATCATTTGAGGGAAAACTTTCTTATACTGTAGGTTCATTTACCGTGAGTTTAGAGTGAGGAAGAGCAGTATGTAGTTCCCAAGCAGATTTCATAGGACATACAACATCATATCTACCCTAGGAACAAACATACAACATCATGTCTACCCTAGGAACAAACATACAACATCATATCTACCCTAGAAACAAACATACAACATTATGTCTACCCTAGGAACAAAACATACATCATATCTACCCTAGGAACAAACATACAACATCATATCTATTATCTACCTTAGGAAAAAACATACAACATCATGTCTACACTAGGAACAAACATTCAACATCATGTCTACCCTAGGAACAAAATATACATCATATCTACCCTAGGAACAAACATACAACATCATATCTACCCTAGGAACAAACATACAGCATCATATCTACCCTAGGAACAAACATACAACATCATATCTACCCTAGGAACAAACATACAACATCATATCTACCCTAGGAACCATCATATCTACCCTAGGAACAAACATACAACATCATATCTTCCCTAGGAACAAACATGCAACAACATATCTACCCTAGGAACAAAACATATAACAACATATCTCCCCTAGGAACAACATTAATCTAAAATCAATCTTTTAGAAACTGCCCAATTCACAGCGATACCCTGTATAATGTGGAAGATATCGTCGCATTTATAGCTAGAGACATTGCTAATTCTGAAAATCTCCTACATTGCTACAGTAACAAAATCCGCAAGTCAGTTTTACAAAGAAACAACAAAAAATAATAAATTTCTAAGTCATGCAAATCACCTTTAAAAAGAAATAGCTTACAAGTACCGTAGAGAATCGGCCATAGAACGGTTTAAGTGAAAATAACTTGAAATTTTGTCTATAGTGCATCAAGCATGATGTTCATTGTGTGAGAAGAAGGACAAAGTTAAATATATCTGATTAGTACCTGGACAATAAATATAGGAATATCCTTGAGTATCTGCGCTTTCTTCAAAATAAATCCTTCCTCCACGAAAATATGGTTTACAAAGTAGTGGCACTCGATTCTGAAACATAAAGATATGTTAAATAATAAACATGTATATTTTATGTAATTTAAAATTTGTAAATTTGAAAGCCAAAAGCCAAAAAGAGCAAGTATGAGTTGACCTGCTATACCTGGAGAAAGTATGAGTTAACCTCCTTTACATGGAGAAAGTATGGGTTGACCTCCTATACCTGGAGAAAGAATGAGTTGACCTCCTATACCTGGGGAAAGCATGAGTTGACTTCCTATACCTGGAAAAAGCAAGAGTTAACCTCGTATACCTGGAGAAAGCATGAGTTGACCTCCTATACCTGGAGAAAGTATGAGTTGACCACCTAAACCTGGAGAAAGAATGGGTTGATCTCCTATACCTGGAGAAAGAATGAGTTGACCTCCTGTATCTGGGGAAAGCATGAGTTGACTTCCTATACCTGGAGAAAGCATGAGTTGACCTCGTATACCTGGAGAAAGTATGAGTTGACCACCTAAACCTGGAGAAAGAATGGGTTGACCTCCTATACCTGGAGAAAGCATGGTTGACCTCCTATACCTGGAGAAAGTATGAGTTGACCTCGTATACCTGGAGAAAGCATTAGTTGAACTCCTATACCTGGAGAAAGCATGAGTTGACCTCGTATACCTGGAGAAAGTATGAGTTGACCTCCTATACCTGGAGAAAGCATGAGTTGACCCCTATACCTGGAGAAATCATGAGTTGACCTACTATACCTGGAGAAAGCAGCCGCAAACTCCAGATTATCCGCTTTATCAAGATATTTAGTATCAGGTATCAGCTTACTCGTCGACATCTCCCACAAGCACCATTCACGGGCAGCACTTTCACGGACAGAGCTAGAACAAAAACATATTAAAATCTTACAAATACAACTTTTTCCTGTAAGAGAACTATTTCTCAAAAGAATTGAGACCTCAAGTACAGGGTTAGTGGTTACCCACAAAGGATGAGACTGTCCAAAATTAACATTGTCTGTCTCTTAATATTTAGGATTCCTTGCAGCTGTAAATTTATTTGTTTCTTTGTCCAATCTATAAAAAGATGATAAAAAGACTTTATTCATGGGAGAGTACTTAATTTAACTTTGGAAAAGTCATATTTAAAGAGATTTATGTCGTCTGTATAGTATCAGCTTTTCTAGATAACTCTGTAGGAAATTAATGAACTCACTATTGGTGGTATATTGTGGTTAATCTGTTTATTACAAAAAGGAGTCTTCGGATCATAATCAATATTCGGATCAATTGAAAACATTTTTTTATTCTATTTTTCTACATTGGTCGGCGTTTATAATAATACAATGAGGACGACTTTTCTATTAAAGTATGCAGTCAAAACATAAACAAACAAAATGTGAACAAAGCAGACGAAAATCCTCGGATAATAGCTTTCTCAGCATATCTCACAATACTAAATCTAAGAATTATTAAAACAAAATCATCAGTCAATTATATTTTCTAATTGTACTATTCAACATGTAAGATGCAAATTCATGAATGAGTTGAACTAAGTTTTCCAGTTTTATGTACTTGGTTTATGTACTTGGTTTATGTACTGGACTTCTATAGGATTATCTATCTCATGTTAGGTACTTTCCCAAAAGGCTTTTCCCCAAGCTTCATCTTGCCAATGGTATTTTCCCAAGTGGCAACTTACCAAATGTGCAATTTCCCAAGCGGCAACTTTCCAAGTCTATCCTAGCCGCAGCATTCGACCCCCTAGACTATTATCCTAGCCACAGCATTCGACCCCCTAAACTATTATCCTAGCCACAGCATTCGACCCCCTAGATTATTATCCTAGCCACAGCATTCGACCCCCTAGACTATTATCCTTGCCACAGCATTCGACCCCCTAGACTATTATCCTAGCCGCAGCATTCGACCCCCTAAACTATTATCCTAGCCGCAGCATTCAACCCCCTAGACTATTATCCTAGCCACAGCATTCGACCCCCTAGACTATTATCCTAGCCGCAGCATTCGACCCCCTAGACTATTATCCTAGCCGCAGCATTCGACCCCCTAGACTATTATCCTAGCCGCAGCATTCGACCCCCTAGACTATTATCCTAGCCTAATATAACCTATGGGAAATTGCACATTGTGGAAGTCACTTGGAAATTCGTCCTTTGCAAAAAATAGCTAAACCCTTGGGACGTCTATGTGTTCCAAAGGTTAAATAAAATTTAGTGTACTTAATCTCAGTCAAGTTTATTCATGCTTAATATAAAAACATGAACTAACACGGCAGGTCCGATTTTAACAATACATAATTCAATATAATATTAGAAAATGCTGAGAAGAATAAAGTTTTTTTTTGTTAAAGATGAAAAACATAAATACATTAATATGAAGATTAATAGTTACAAAAAAATATAAGAAATGTTATGAAAATGCAACGGATATTCCACAAAACTCCATTTTACTATTAATTCTGAGAACAAAGAATATATTGTTGGGGTGAAAAATGAATTATCTAATTAATACAAAATGTCACCTGGTAGAACCATAGTAGTTCCGATCTCCTGCACATAAATATACCTCGGAGAATCAGAGCTTTCACCCTTTATTTTATTCATAATCAACATTTTTCTCTTTAGCTTCAAACTGACCTGTGTTGAACCCAGAGGGATCACAAAGTCAAATATAAATATATGAATTATAAAACATTCAATTATAAATTTTTCCCGTTTAAAGTAATTTACAGATAAATCTCACAAAATGTTTTTGGTCATAAAAAAATATGAATAAAATTAGAAATGAAAGGATAAATAAATAATTGATTTAAAATAATTGAATTAAAATAAAAAATAATCAAATATGTTTATAAAAGAAATGACAAGTACAAATTGTATGGTGTTAAGACCTCCAAACAAAAAAAAATTGTTCCTATCAGGATGATCCGGATGTGGCGTGTAAACAATGAATGAATAAAAAATGAGTATGTTCCTATCAGGATGATGAATAATGTTATGAATGAATAAATAAATGAATGAATATGTTCCTCTCAGGATGATAAATGGCGTTTATGAAAAAGACGAATGAATAAATAAATGAATGAATATGTTCATATCAGGATGATGAATGGCGTTTATAAAAACGACGAATGAATAAATAAATAAATGAATATGTCCCTATCAGGATGATGAATAGCATATATTAGACTGAGAGTAGATCCCCAAGAACCTCCGAAAACAAACCATTTTTCTAAAAAGGCATCAACTAAATTAAGAATGATTATTTAACCTCTTTATATCTTCCAAATACCATATAATCGGATCCGGATCCAGGTCAAGAACATTTCTTTAAGATTTGCTGATTTTTTTAACAAAAGAAGAATTTTGAAATTGAGGTTCTTAACTTTTTCGCTGATTTTCCGATTTATAACAGAACCATTTAAACTTTTGACTGATCAAGGATGTCACTCTTTACATATTAAGTTGTTTCGCACTTTGTTTACTATCTGTTTTATATTTAAAGGGACAGACCGGCTATGTAAGGTAGTTAAACTGAGTATGCAGTGTTGTGGACAAATTCTTTAGGATTCATTCATTCATTCATCAAACGTTATTTGAGCAAACCACACGGAGTTCTCAGGCCTCGATGATCAGTCAAAGGTTTAAAAGGCACTGTTGTTAATTGTACGTTGTTATCTTTGCCCATTCAGAGCTTACCGTTTACACTAAAGATTTTCAAAATTTGAATAAAAAACTTTTATTAAACTATTTTACCTATTTCTAGATGCTTTCGAAGGGTTTCGATATCTCCAACAAGAGCCTAGAAAAATATAGATTTTCGTCAGTTTTCACAAGAAAATTTGAAATAAACTAAATGCTTCTTTAAAATTTTGAACCGTTGAAAGTTATCATTAAAGTTGAATTTTTTTTACCTGTGTATTATTATCTTGGAGTTCAGCATGTGGAGTAGATTTTCCACATCCTCGTTGATCAAGCATTACAATATTGTACTTTTCAGGGTTAAAATACCTCCTATACATTGCAATATTGTACTTTTCAGGGTTAAAATACCTCCTATACATTGCAATATTGTACTTTTCAGGGTTGAAATACCTTCTATACATTACAATATTGTACTTTTCAGGGTTAAAATACCTCCTATACATAAAAATATTGTACTTTTCAGGGTTAAAATACCTCCTATACATTACAATATTGTACTTTTCAGGGTTAAAATACCTCGCTTTACATAAAAATATTGTACTTTTCAGGGTTAAAATGCCTCCTATACATTACAATATTGTATTTTTCAGGTTAAAATACCTCCTATACATTACATTATTGTACTTTTCAGGGTTGAAATACCTCCTTTACATTACAATATTTTCAGGCTAAAATACCTCCTATACATTACAATATTGTACTTTTCAGGGTTTAAATACCTTCTAACCATTACAATATTGTACTTTGCAGGGTTAAAGAACTCCTATACATTACACTTTTGTATTTTTCAGGGTTAAAGTAATTTTAAACACAGTAGTATTGTAATTTTGATCTGGAGGAAAATAATGAAAAATCGGACATCAGGAAGTTTTTTCATCCTTTTTCATAATTTTTACCCAAACTTTTATTTATCTTTCCCATTTTAGCGAATAAAACCCTAAACAAAACATATTTTTCTGGGAAAAAATGGTTTTTTAAAGAAAATATACACCCCTGAACAATAAGCTTTACTAACCCCACAACCTTGTTTGTTACTACAATGTACCTGTAGTCTGGATCAGTTCCTCCTCCAGGACCTCCATGAAGCACAACAACAGGTTCTCCAGTAGCTAGTCCACTCACCTCCCAGTACAAAGTGTGTATATCAGTCACCTAAAATATCAAGATAAAAGTACTCATGACACAAAATTTTATTTTTAAAAACAACATCTTTAACTAAGTTGTGATGTGGCAACACAAACATTTAAAATATCAAGATAGAAGTGCTCCTGACCTAAAACTTGTATTTTTTAAATGCCAAAACCTTAAATTAGTATGTGGCAACACGAAAACTTGCCCTGAACAAGTTTTATTTCTAAACGTATTCTTTTTGCTTGAAAGAAATATTCCCATTATGAGCGATATTGTCTGCAAGTGATAAAAACAAAAATTTAGAATTGTGATAACTTTAGATCGAATATTGACTTAAGGGTATAATTTCTTATGAAAAACGAATTAGCCTGATGTCTATCTCACGAGTTATGCTCAACATTACCTTCAACATTTGCATCTCCTAGCAGGAATACAGGAATACAGGGATACAGGGAAACAGGGATACAGGGATACAGGGATACACGGATACAGGGATACACAACATTACCTTCAACATTTGCATTTCCTAGCAGGAATACAGGAATACAGGGATAAGGGATACACGCATTACCTTCAACATTCCCATTTCTCTAGCCTGAATACAGGGATACACAACATTACCTTCAACATTCTCGTTTCTCTAGCAGAGATACAGGGATACACAACATTACCTTCAACATTCTCGTTTGTCTAGCAAGGATACAGGGGTACAGAACATTACCTTCAACATTCCCGTCTCTCTAGCCGGGATACAGGGATACACAACATTACCTTCAACATTCCCGTCTCTTTAGCAGGGATACATGAGTACACAACATTACCTTCAACATTCCCGTCTCTCTAGCAAGAATACAGGGGTACACAGCATTACCTTCAACATTCCCGTCTCTCTAGCAAGGATACAGGGTTACACAACATTACCTTCAACATTCTCGTTTCTCTAGCAGAGATACAGGGATACAAAACATTACCTTCGACATTCCCGTCTCTCTAGCCGGAATACAGGGATACACAACATTACCTTCAACATTCTCGTTTCTCTAGCAGAGATACAGGGATACACAACAATACCTTCAACATTCTCGTTAGTCTAGCAAGGATACAGGGGTACACAACATTACCTTCAACATTCCCGTTTCTCTAGCCGGGATACAGGGATACACAACATTACCTTCAACATTCCCGTCTCTTTAGCAGGGATACAGGGGTACACAACATTACCTTCAACATTCCCGTCTCTCTAGTAAGGATACAGGGGTATACAACATTACATTCAAAATTCCCGTCTCTCTAGCAAGGATACTCAACATTCTCGTTTGTCTAGCAAGGATACAGGGGTACACAACATTACCTTCAACATTCCCGTCTCTCTAGCCGGGATACAGGGATACACAACATTACCTTCAACATTCCCGTCTCGTTAGCAGGGATACAGGGGTACACAACATTACCTTCAACATTCCCGTCTCTCTAGCAAGGATACAGTGGTACACAACATTACCTTAAACATTCCCGTCTCTCTAGCCGGGATACAGGGATACACAATATTACCTTCAACATTCCCGTCTCTTTAGCAGGGATACAGGGGTACACAACATTACCTTCAACATTTCCGTCTCTCTAGTAAGGATACAGGGGTACACAACATTACCTTCAAAATTCCCGTCTCTCTAGCAAGGATACAAGGTTACACAACATTACCTTCAACACTCCCGTCTCTCTAGGAGGGATACAGGGATTCCAAACATTACCTTCAACATTTCAGTCTCTTTAGCAGGGATACAGGGGTACACAACATTACTTCAACACTCCCATCTCTCTAGCAAGGATACAAGGATACACAACATTACCTTCAACATTCCCGTCTCTCTTGGAGGAGCAAGTATACAAGGATACACAACATTACCTTCAACATTCCCGTCTCTCTTGGAGGGATACAGGGATACACAACATTACCTTCAACATTCCCGTCTCTTTAGCAGGGATACAGGGGTACACAACATTACCTTCAACACTCCCGTCTCTCTAGCCGGGATACAGGGATACACAACATTACCTTCAACATTCCCGTCTCTCTAGCAAGGATACAAGGATACACAACATTACCTTCAACATTCCCGTCTCTCTTGCAAGAATACAGGGGTACACAGCATTACCTTCAACATTCTCGTCTCTCTAGCCAGGATACAGAAATACACAACATTACCTCCAACATTCCCGTCTCTTTAGCAGGGATACAGGGGTACACAACATTACCTTCAACATTCCCGTCTCTCTAGCAAGGATACAGTGGTACACAACATTACCTTCAACATTCCCGTCTCTCACAACATTACCTTCAACACTCCCATCTCTCTAGCAAGGATACAAGGATACACAACATTACCTTCAACATTCCCGTCTCTCTAGGAGGGATACAGGGATACACAACATCTGCAAAAGTTTTCCCTCCTGTTCTTGACATTTTGCTAACACTCAGATTTCTGAAATATAAACTTTTAAGTTTTTTTTTTTTGTAGGGGAGTTATTTTATCCAATTCTAACATAAAGGAATAAATGTGGTCAAATATGTTTTGAAACATTGTATCGTTTAAATCAATCCACTTATATGAACAATAGGAACTCTTAGTTGCAACATGGATGGAATAAATATAATTATTTCTTCTTGATCTTTTATGGGAGAATCAAGTTTATATTTTAGGGTCATGTCTCCTAACTAACGCTTTTAGGACCCACCCCCCTTACAACTGTTTTTCAACAAAGTTATTAATATTTCATTAGTATTATTTCAGGATAAGGTTAGGCCAATTTCTGAGACGAACGCTGCGGCTAGGACAGGCTAGATGGCCAAGCGCTAGGGGCCGAGCGCCATGGCCACAAGTCTAACTTGACCATGTGTAGCACTTGAGCTCTATGTAAAAAATTTTAACCTCTTAAAGACACAGTACAGATGTTCAGAATATTAAAATGAAAGTATACAATGACCCTTAGTAAATCTTGATACAGATTTCAGAGAAAAGTCACAATGTCGTCTTGAAAAAAAAATAATCTTTAGTTTAAGAGTGTCAGATAATTTTAATCTTTTCTAGGTTTCATAGATTTCATGTAATACAAATTTCACCGACATTCAAATTCTTAACTTTGCCCCTCCACCCCTTGACGAATTCCTAGCTACGGGCCTGCTTCTATTTCTGTATACTGTACAAATTGTACAAGCTCTTTATCTAGCAATCAATTAATAGCTTTTCGCTCATGTCATGCAGCTCATGTACTCCATGTACTGAGCGTCCTATATCATATTAGTTTTTTTCCAGGTTTTAACGCTAAAATAACCCCATAATACTCGAAAAACCTAGCATTTCCGCAAGAAAATTCTGAAATTATTCGAATATTTATCTACCAGTAATATTTTACTGTCAAAACTTGAAAGCCTCAAAACTTGTACAATTAGGAAAAATAATAATATGATTCAATAAAATGCCACACAAAAAGATCGCTCTATCAAATATGTCTCTAGGGGGTTACAGTGAGTGTTAGGTACTAGGCAGGCTGTTGATAGCAACAGAAAACAGTCATACATATCCTTTACAACTAGAAACACACTACACAGTGCAGGAATCTGCTTATCTTCTGAAGCAAAGCAAGTAATATGGAGAAATATTGTGGATTGAGAACTTGTATAGAAGGAGGGGGCTTTATACCTGTACCTCTAGTAGGCGTTGAGATCACCAGCAGGCTAGTCAACTTTACTGCTGAGGTCACTGTTCTGCAGAAGTACACCAATAAGGAGGAGAATCCTATAGAGTGTGAGTACTTCTTCCCCATAGAGGAGGAGTCCACCGTGGTCGGGTTCAGGGCGGAGATAGATGACAGGGTTCTAGTCTCACAGGTAGTTAAGCCTTTATACTTGAAGTCAGGGCAGAGATAGATGACATGGTTCTAGTCCCACAGGTAGTTAATCTGTCATACTGTCAGTTCAAGGCGGAGATAGATGACATGGTTCTAGTCTCACAGGTAGTTAATCCTTTATACTTGTAGTCAGGGCGGAGATATATAGCAGGTTTCTAGTCTCACAGGTAGTTAATCCTTAATATTTGTAGTCAGGGCGGAGATAGATGACAGGGTTCTTGTCTCACAGGTAGTTAATCCTCATACTTGTAGTCAGGGCGGAGATATATAGCTGGGTTCTAGTCTCACAGGTAGTTAATCCTTCATACTTGTAGTCAGGGCGGAGATAGATGACAGGGTTGTAGTCTCACAGGTAGTTAACCCTTTATACTTGTAGTCAGGGCGGAGATATATAGCTGGGTTCTAGTCTCACAGGTAGTTAACCCTTTATAATTGTAGTCAGGGTGGAGATATATAGCTGGGTTCTAGTCTCACAGGTAGTTAATCCTTCATACTTGTAGTCAGGGCGGAGATAGATGACAGGGTTGTAGTCTCACAGGTAGTTAACCCTTTATACTTGTAGTCAGGGCGGAGATATATAGCTGGGTTCTAGTCTCACAGGTAGTTAACCCTTTATACTTTTAGTCAGGGCGGAGATATATAGCAGGGCTCTAGTCTCACAGGTAGTTAACCCTTTATACTATATAGCAGGGTTCTAGTCTCACAGGTAGTTAACCCTTTATACTTGTAGTCAGGGCGGAGATATATAGCAGGGTTCTAGTCTCACAGGTAGTTATAACCCTTTAAACTTGTAGTCAGGGCGGAGATATATAGCAGGGTTCTAGTCTTACAGGTAGTTATAACCCTTTATACTTGTAGTCAGGGCGGAGATATATAGCAGGGTTCTAGTCTCACAGGACTTTAATTCTACATACAAAACAAAACGCCTTGAACACTTCGATTTTTTGCCTGTTTAAAATTTAATTAAAACCTTTTCTAGTCAAAACCCGTCAATTCATAATATTTATTTTTGGAACTACCTTGTTATTATCCGGCCTTGGGACAATGTGTTTTTTTGCCGGGATTTTTACTTTTTTGTTTGTTTAACACCACATTTAAAAACTTAAATCAAAACTTAAAACAAACACAAAAGTATATATACAAACCAAAGCAAAACACATATTTTCTAAAATGTTAATACAAGACGGTTTAATACATAAATCTATATAAATTAAGTTAGATTTTTTAACGAAAATCCGTCAAATGTAAAAGGAACCCGGCATTGCCGGTATCGTGCGTCTGTTCATCTCCATGCGACGGTTCATCTCCCCTATTATAAAGTTTTAACCATTTCAACACAGAAAAAGAAATGTTAAATCATTAAAAATCAATAATTGAAATTTATTTCTAAAATGTATGTTATTAAAACGGAACAGCGCATAACAAGTTAGTTCCTCTCTAATAACGTCTTCCTTTCAAATCTTAAAGCAGTCAATATTTTTCCAGATTTTTATCATTTTAAATGTGTTTTTCGAATCAAAACATATTAATAAACATGCGCAAGTGTTATAACATTGTGTGGTGTTTAATATTATGTTGAAGTGGTTGATACAGTTGAAACATTATAGGGGAGATGAACATTCGCACAACCCCGGTATAAATGATACATTTTTGCCTCGGAACACTTTAGAAACTTTTATTCCCAAGCTCATCAAATTGTGAGTAAAAATGCGAAATCAAAATAGGATGTTATAGGATGTTTACATCCAGAATATTTACGTTTGCTGAAACAGTTTATTTTAAAAAAGAGATTGTAAGCGTAACTTAAAGTGACTCTCCGCTCAAAGGTGGCAATTAGTCCGATTCACATCGGTATTCTTGAACCTTTTATCTCATCAAGTATGAATCATGATTCATGGTTATCAATGTTTATAAGTTTGAAATCTGATTATTTTTAATTGTGGTTTCTACACAAAAATGATTTACGCATTTCTACTGCAGTAAAACATATAGAAATTATCAAAATTCATTACTTTTAAACCTAGAAATAACGACAATATCTTCCACATTATTGATCAGATAAAGGTTTCCAGGGTATCGTTCTGAATCGGACAATCCAATCTTCGCATGAAGGGTTAATAGACATTACGCTTACAGTACCTTAAACAATTTCTTATCATCTAACTAGAAGGGAATCAACTCTACGCTTTAATTCTCTGGAGCCTGATCAGGAAATATCTGAGATTAAAAAGTTCTTGTTTCAGCAGTTTTGCAAATCTTTGGCAAAATAAAAAAGAACTTTAATTGTTGTTGTTAATGTTGCTATTAGTTTTCAGAATCCTTGAGCAGCGAGTGGGTTGAAATACATAAATTAAATTATTGAAAGAAAGAAAATAATGTATTCTGCATCATGAGAACTGGTTGAAGGTGCAGTGTTCCACTCCTTTATTTTCTAATTCAAACTTTAAAAATCTGTCCCCCCCCCAAGTTGGTAAATAAATGTTCAATTGTAAAATTTAAGTTTTTTTTCTTTCATAAATAGAGAAAAGTATAAAAATTCATTTTCCTAAATGTTCAAAAGAATATCAATAAGAGATAAAGCCCTAATTGGAACTAATATAATTACTTATAGTTAAAATGGAAATAACAATATCAGAATTAAAAATTCTACATTTCAGAGATTGCAACTATAGGGTGTGGGGGGGGGGTGAGGTTTCTCCATGACTCATTAAAAGTAGAGAAATATTTTTTTAAATCTTATTTTCATAACATTCTGATAATCGTATTGACTGTTTGGAAAAGTAAAATGACTGTTTTTGGAATTTCCTAGAGAGTTATTTTCTACAAGATAACAGTGTTTGTTTTGGGAGGAAATGACACAGTATTTACATTTTTTATATTTAAATTGAGAAATAAAGAAAAGAATTGAAATACATAAAAAAAGAAAAAATACCAAATAGTTGTTTTTGTTTTGGAAAAATTAAGCCTCTGCACAGACTTTACACTTATTCTTATATAACATCTTTTTTCATTCAAAACTGGATTGGGCGTTGAACGATGATTTAAATTGAACACTTTTTCCCATTTTAAACATTTAAATGTATACTATGAACTATGAACGTAATTTCAAGTAAACCTCAATTAATAGAGTGGAATGTCAATTACCTTGTTTGCGTTTTTTTGCAAAAAATCTACAAGTCTCTTTCTTTTACAGACATAGGCAGCCGTAGTACATTTGAATTTCTGAGCCGGGTCAACCTTTCCGGTCGCAGTTTGTACTGTACCTAGCTCTATGGACAGGACAGGCCGGTGCAACAAGGTTGACGCAGTCAGACTTTATGTTTCATATTGGTTGAATTTACTTTTACTAAAGGGGCAGAGGTGCATGCAGAGAAACCATAGTAGAATTTTGTTGTGAAAAACACACTTTTAGGTTTTTGCATGATTTTTTTTCAGGAAAAATATTTTTTTTTTGACTAAAAATTGCTGATTTAAACAAACTTTTAAGATTTTTGGCGTAGGGCTTAAATTTTAAAAAGATGGTATTTCTTCTGGAAACATGACATTGACATTATTGAAGATAAAACTAAAAATAAATTAAATAAATGCTGGTTTATTAAAAATCTTTGATAATATATTTTTTAAATTTATCTATAATTCATAATTTTACAATTTTAACACCATTAAAAGATATTGTTAGTTGATTTATTTTGTGTATTTTTCCTTTGTTTTCCTTTTTTTAAATTTGTCATTTAATCACTGATAAATCTGCTTAAAATCATGCCTTTCACTTTAATTTGAAATGAAAATATCTCTGTTCTATGTTTAAATTTGATAGAATCTTATATTCAGGTTAAAACAAGTGTTTCTGCCAAGAATGATTATGATGAAGCTGTATCTGAGGGTAGAACTGCTTTCCTCATGGAGTCTACACGACCTGACATTCTTCAGATCTCTGTCGGTCATCTAGCTCCAGGTTCTACCTGCTCTGTCTCTATCACCTATATCTCTGAGGTGCCCCTAGAGATAGGAAGAGCAAGGTTAACTATCCCAACTACGATATCTCCAAAATATATTCCCTTCACTGACGGTTCCAAGGAAGCTAAGCGTATAGCATCAATACAATATGATTTTAAGAGCCCGGCTAAACTCAGCTTTAAACTAAAAACAACCATGAAGAGTAGGATAGAGAAGGTAACCAGTCCTAGTCATGATATTAACACTACTGGAGGTAAAGAGGTGGTTATTGAAGGATTCTATACAGCTGAAACTACTCTTGAATCTTCAACTGTAGATCTAGACCGGGATATTGTTATTCTAGTAGAGTGTGAGGATCCAAACAAATCTATCATTTTTGTTGAGGAGACAGATGAATCCAAGGTAATGATGATTTCCCTTGTTCCTAAGCTGGAGGCAATCACCCAGCCTGATCTAGATATTGTGTTCCTTATTGACTGCTCAGGGTCCATGATGGGGAGCAGTATACAGCTAGCCAAGGAGGCAATTAACATCCTTCTCCACTCTCTACCAGCCTCTGTACACTTTAATATCATCAGGTTTGGAAGCAGTTATAAGATGCTTTTTCCAGAGAGCAGAAAGTATTCTGACCAAACACTACGAGAAGCTAAGTCAGCTATGTCTAAGCTTGAAGCAGATTTAGGTGGAACTGAGATTTTATCTCCACTCCGTGTTCTACTGGAGGAGAAGACAAAGGTTCCCAGAAGAATATTTATTCTGACGGATGGATCTGTTTCCAACAGCTCCGAGTGTATCAAGGTTACAAGGAAGAACAACAAGAAGAACCGTGTGTTTACTCTCGGTATAGGTTCAGGTGCTGACCGACATCTAGTGAAGGGTTTGGCTAGATCTGGTCTAGGAACCTCAGTTTTTACAGTAGAAGGTGAGATTATGGCTCCTAAGATCATTAAACAGTTGAAGAACTGTCTTCAACCTAGTTTTGAGAATGCAGAAATTAACTGGGGTGATGAGGTTGGTCCAGGGAACTCATGCCAGGCTCCGTCCACCATTCCTCCTATCTACGATGGTTCTCGGATACAAGTATTTCGTCTCTTTGAGAAGAGTATTTCTGTTCCTGACTTGGTTAAAGTATCAGCTGAGATCCTTGCCTCCAGATCCAAAGATGCATCATTCTCAGAGGAGATCAAGGTTGAGACAACCCTTATGAAGGACTCCCTGCTGCACAAGATGTTTGGAAGGAAGATGATCCAGGAGCTGGAGGAGAACTATGAAGAGAAGGAGGAGGGGGAGATAAAAAACCTAGTCACCGATCTTTCCCTGAAATATCAGATTATGTCCAAGTTTACTTCTTTTATAGCTGTGGATACCAAGGAAAACAAGGGGGAGAAGAAGATGGTTAAACGACATGTTGCAAACCAGGTTCCTCAAGGTTTCGGGATAATGATGATGTGCAGCGTACCTGCTCCAATGATGCGCTGTGCATCTTCTCGAATGCCGACTTCTAGCAATCAGTCAAGATCAAGATCAATCCGAAGCTTCCTTCCCAATATGAAGCAGAAAAAGAAATCAAAGAAAATTGAGTCTTATTCTTCAGAGATGGACTACTGTGATGCTGACATGGATACAGCAGAGTGTATGAATATGGAAGTATTGGCTGATGAAGAATCAGAGGAGAGTATTGTTGGAGCAGAGGTCTTAGAAGTAGATCCAGAGAAGTTGAAAATGCAAAACCTTCTTTGCTTGATTGCTCTGCAGACTGCAGAAGGATCGTTTTCTAAAGATAAACATATTTTCTCTGTGTGTGAACTTGATGAGGAGAAGGTGGAGATGGTTCGAGGGAGTCTGGATGAGAAAGTGTTCTATACAAGCCTAGTCCTCCTCCTCTTGGAGTTGAGGTTTCTGGAGCTCAAGGACTGCTGGGAGATGGTGGCGGAGAAAGGAAAACTCTGGAGACAGAATAAATCCGTCCCGGATACTTTAAACCAAGATCTTCTGCAGATTTTAAAGAATTAATCTTAATCTTAATCTGACAGCACAAACTAACTTAAAAAATGCTTTTATTATCATCACATTATAAACTGCAACTTTTTTACCTCTGACATTTTTAATGTGTAATTTTGGGTGAATTGATAGTTTTCTGCTTTCTTTAGTTTCTGCACATACGTTGAATGCAGCACTTGATATTGAAGATTTTTTTTATAATTAAATCTTATTGGGATTCGCTAATTAAATTGTTCATTGTGACTTAAAAACGGTGTTAATGCTTTGTGGCTGTATATTTGACACTTGGAAGTTATGACATATAAATAACACAAGACTTTTTATTTTTTCTTCATTTAAGATTTTGTTGGTGGACTGACAAATTACAGATAATTTAGGAGGCAAAATTCTTTAACTATTGCCGTCCATGAATCATTTCTGGGGTCATGCGATGACCCATAATAACGTTTTTAACTTTTACAAGCTAACAAAGATTACACAAATTTATGTTTTTGCTTTTACAATATATTGTAGCTTTTATTTAACTCTTTACAAAATAACAATTAACGCTATAGAATACAGTGACTTTCAAAATAATAGGGAAATAAAAAGAAGACTTTAAGGTCAAAAAAAGTTTTTTTTGACCATTTTGAACAATTAATAACAGTACACAGAAAGAAATTAGATGTTATTTTTTCAAGATTTAGGGGGGTTTCGTTCACAAAAACACTGAGACAGAAGCCCAAAGAAGTTACGCGCATGCTCACTCTGTCTTGTAAACAAGCAAACAACCAAACAAGCAACTCCTTTGGGCCTCTGCCTCATGCGGAGACATTATAGACACATCTTTACAGTCTTTTACCCTTTTCATAAAATAAACTCTCGCAGACATAATAATATTATGGCTTTTGAAATTAGGTATTACAATGTTAATTCATAACTTAAAGACGATATACAATTCGTCACTATATTCCCATGTTTTTTGGGTGACCCTGTATCTAACGAATTTATATTTTTTTTAGGTTTTTGTTTTACTTCTGTAGAAAAAAGATCTTATTTTTACATTTATTTTACGCTAAAAAAAGTGATTTGTTATTTTGCTCTCTTTCTGGAATTAACAGATTGACTACAAAAGGAAAAAATGACTTTCCTCTAATTTAATTTCAAACGACCCTTCATTTAAACTTTTAAAGGCAGGCGCATCCCTATTCAATCATCTTTGCTCTTTATACTTTTTTTCTAAATGAACTAAATAAACCTAAGTAAAGAAAGAAGAAAATACGCGTTGATGGGGATTATATACAGCCAATCTCGCATATTAGAATACACAGCAAGAGTGCATGAAATGTCGTCTTGAAATTTATCTAAAAATTTATGACAGCTGTAATACTTTCTCATTGGTCTGTACAAAATTAAAGCTGCTGAGATGTTGCAGCTTCAAATGGTTAAATACGTTATGTGAAAATATATCAAATATCATTATAAATTTTAAGAAACTGCTTTTTATTTTCAATTCAAGGACAAGGTAAATTAACAGCCCTGCAAAATGAAGGACAGCAATTGGTATATTAAACTCGTTTTTTTCCGCGGCATTTGATCTTACATATGTTGAGAAAACGACATTATACAGTTAAACCCTAAATATTAGATACATCTAAAGAATTTATCAAATGTCGTCTCGATAATTTTTCACTGGGGTTTTTACTATTTTACGGAAATCTCAGTAAATAAATAAATAGCCATGAATATACGAGAACAGTTTTAAAGAGCTACATATAATCATTTAATTGATAAACTGAATATCTGCAACATTCCATGTGAAGAATACGACATTTGATGAATTCTTTCGATGTTTTTAATATTTAGGATTTAACTGTTAAAAAATCTCGCTATATATTCATATATCTGGGATTCACCAAACATAATTTCTAGTAACCTTTCATTAAGAAAAGTGGTCTGATGATTTACAACAGCTTACTCTTTAAACCATGAGATTTAGTGAGGAATAAAATGTCATTTTTCTTAAAACATGAAAAACTATAAAATTCTGAAAGTTTACTTGTCTCACCTGCAAAAATACCTTTGTGAATCAGACTTTCCCCTCTATAAATGGAGGACCTCTTAACTACGCCTATAATATAGCCACTACACAGTTATTGCAACTACGCCTAAACTTAGAGCCACTACACAGTTCTTGCAACTACGCATAAACCTAGAGCCCCTACAGAGTTCTTGCAACTACGCATAAACCTATAGCCCCTACAGAGTGCTTGCATCTACGCCTAAATCTAGAGCCCCAACAGAGTCCTTGCAACTACGCCTAAACCTAGAGCCCCTACAGAGTCCTTGAAACTATGCCTAAACATAGAGCCCCTACAGAGTTCTTGAAACTATGCCTAAACCTAGAGCCCCTGTACAGAGTTCTTGCAATTCTACGCTTAAACCTAGAGCCCCTACAGAGTCCTTGAAACTACGCCTAAACCTAGAGCCCCTACAGAGTCCTTGAAACTACGCCTAAACCTAGAGTCCCTTCAGAGTCCTTGCAACTACTCCTAAACCTAGAGCACCTACAGAGTCCTTGAAACTACGCCTATAGTATAGTCCCTAAAGAGTCCTTGAAACTACGCCTATAATATAGCTTCTACAGAGTCCTTGAAACTACGCCTATAATATTGCCCCTACAGAGTCCTTGTTACTACGCCTAAACCTAGAGCCCCTACAGAGTCCTTGCAACTACGCCTAAAACTGGAGCCCTTACAGAGTCCTGGAAACTACGCCTAAACCTAGAGCCCCTGCAGAGTTCTTTAAACTACGCCTAAACCTAGAGCCCCTACAGAGTCCTTGAAACTACGCCTAATCCTAGAGCCCCTACAGAGTCCTTGAAACTACGCATAAACCTAGAGCCCCTACAGAGTCCTTGAAACTACGCATAAACCTAGAGCCCCTACAGAGTTCTGCAACTACGCCTAAACCTAGAGCCCCTGCAGAGTTCTTTAAACTACGCCTAAACCTAGAGCCCCTACAGAGTTCTGCAACTACGCCTAAACCTAGAGCCCCTACAGAGTCCTTGAAACTATGCCTAAACCTAGAGCTCCTACAAAGTTCTTGAAACTACGCCTAATCCTACAGCGGCTTCAGCCCCTACAGACTACAGAGTCTCTGGAAATGACTTAATACCATTTGGTTAAATTGTTCAGCTATTAAACTTCCCAACACTTATGACGACATTATAATATCGTCTTCTACATTTGACAAAAAAAACTTATTGTTTGCATTTAAAGCAGCTGCTCATTTTCCCGATATGTGTTCTGTCATATTCATTCTTAACCCTATCCCGATTGGGCTATTTTTGTCTTATAGAGATTGGGCTATTTTTGTCTAATATTAGATTTCAAGACCTGTTCGTTAAAAAAATTATATCTCTAACTTTAATGGTTATAGGGTGTAAGGAGTGTAAGGGAAGATTTTAAAAAAGTTCAAAAAGTATGTCGCGTGCAAAAAAAAATTTCAAATAGTTTTTTTTTGTCAAATATTAACATGTTAATATTTTCATTTTTCAAGGTTTTTTTTAAATATATGCGTCATAGTCCTGTATAGCTTAGTTAATAAAAAAGTTATTAAACATTTCTGAGTTTTTAAACACCGACCCGCCATTTTACTGCTCATATACTCTACCCTATGATAAAAAAAGTTAAGCAAAATTTGTTTACAACTATTGTGTTGCAAAAGTGAAGAAGTCTTAGCGTTCTCATGTAAGCCGTTTTTTAAATTACAGAAGAAACGATAGGGAGGATGCTCCCCCCCCCCCTCCTCACCGTGATAAGGTGAAAGAATGGAAACGTTGAATCGTGTTAGACGCTAATTTATTCTAAAATTTTAGGACACACTACAGTCGTCGTCGCATGTATAAATACAATTAAGACGATTTATATCAAGTTTTATAAAAGATAAACATAAACATGGAAGCACTATAGCGAAGCTGTCGATTAAAAATCTTCTCTTTATTTGTAAATTTGTAATTCGAAAATAGCTTGTTCACAATTAAAACTTTAAAAAAATATAATAGCCGACAAAGTCACAAATTACTGGACGTTAAGTGTTTTCAAAACTTTCTAAAATTTGATCAAATATGCAGTAAATTTCAAAACTTCAGATATGGGGGCGTTATGATTTTTTTAATTCGTTCGTTAACGTTAGTTTGACTTTTTTTTAATTTTTCAGCAAAAATTTGAATTCGTTAATTAGCTTTGTCATTCTCAGTTTTCCTTCTTTTTCGTTCGTATATACTAACTAAACGTTCATTTAGAGAATTCGCTTGTTCAGAGAAATCTTTCGTTCGTTTAGAGAAATCGTTTGTTCAGTGAAATCGTTTGTTAAGTGACATCTTTCGTTCAGAGAAATCGTTCGTTCAATGAAATCGTTCGTTCAGAGAAATTGTTTGTTTGCAGTGAAATCGTTTGTTCAGTGAAAACGTTTGTTCAGTTAAAATAGTTTGTTCGGTGAAATCGTTCGTTCAGAGAAATCGTTCCTTCAGTAAAATCGCTTGTTCAGTGAAATCATTTGTCCAGTGAAATCGTTTGTTCAGTGAAATCGTTTGTTAAGTGAAATCGTTTGTTTGCAGTGAAATCGTTTGTTCAGTGAAATAGTTTGTTCAGTGAAATAGTTTGTTCAGTGAAATCAATCAGGGACATAAAAAAATATCAGATGGACTTACACTTTTTGACATTCCACGCCTTTGAATTCACAAACTTTTTTGTATCATTCGTTCAAGAAATGATTCCTTCATATATTGATATCTATTTCATACTTGCTAATCTATTTGTGTCAAATATACAAATTTTTGCGAATTAAAAATTCACGAAACCTCTCACATAAACAGAGAACAACTCGAATCTTTACCAAAAACATGCATGCCTTAAAAGGGACTGTGTGCGTAATTTCAAGTGGCCTTCCATTTCAATAGGGGTATCCCTGATTTACAACGGTATCCTTTAAACCTTTGGTTTATCTAGGATGTCAGACATATCTTGCTTAATCTAATAAAACGCTTTTAAATGTTAAACAGGTTGGTCCCAAGCTGTCACATATTTCAGAAATATTAATAGTTA